CCCCCCCCCACCCCCCCCCCCACCCCCACACCCACACCCACACCCACACCCACACCCACACCCACACCCACACCCTCTCCCATCCTAAAAAGATAATAAGCATAGAGATAGTAAATTTTCAACAAAAATCTTGAACATGTTCTATGTTTCCATGGTATGTTTTCTGTAATAAAAAAAAAACAAAAACCTGACTTCTCTCTACATTTTTGGTTTCTGCTGTTAAATGAACAATAATATGATTATTTATTACTTAACTTTGTTTAATTCTATCGTTAAGATCATACATGTAGAGAGAATATCAAACATGGTAGATTTTTTCTAGTTGTACATCCTTTAAAAATTTCGATGTTTCACGTTTGCTGATGATCACTTTCTCAAGACACCTTCTAGCAATAAAAATCTTGAATGGCTTTGGTAATACAGTTCCATTGGTTTCAATTGGTTGAAGGATTTACAATGAATATATGATTTTATTTACTTATTAAAATATCACTACTTCTGATATTTTAATAAGCTCGAGCTTTGATTTTTTGAATGTATGAGGAATGTGACAAGAGCATGTGGGTAAAGATGTCAAAAATAGACTCACATCCACACGTATCTCTGACAAGTATTCGTGATGAAAGAAACTTAACTTTCTAGGTTGGGAAAATAGCTGATTGAACTCGAAGTTTCAAACTATAGGAAACATGACCATTTTATTTTGAGATATTAGCCTATTTTTTATGAAAAAATGATTAAAATTTATACTCATTTGATAAGAACGAAGAAATTGAACTCTTACTATCTCATTTTATTAGAAAAGATGACTTATTACGATGTTCAAATGATGGGATTTTAGATTAAGATAATTTCAAAAATTTACTATTTTTTATAAATTGATATTCTAATTATGTGTAGAAAATAAAGAATTTTAACGAAATTTGTTTTACAAAGTCATTCTTAAAATATATATCATATGACATTTTTCTACAACATACATTAAGAATTCACGAATCTTTATGAAAATCAATGATAACAGATTAATTCAGTATTTATCCAGTTTTTACTTGAGAAATAAACTATTCTAACAGCCTAATCAGCTAAAATAGACTGAATATATTCATAGTGTAGAATAACAAGAATGTAGTGTTCGCAGTATTGAAACTCATCTTTCTAATTATCTTTTCTTTTTTTATCTGTCTATCAAAATGTCTGTGCTACTCTTTCTTCTGAAACTATGAATAGAAAAGTTTAGAATACATTCGATTTTAAACTTTCTTTCAAAATCCTGTATTCTCCTTGTGTCATATTTGATAGATTAGTTAAAGTTTGAAAACAATATTGGGAAACGACTAGTTTTTTAATATGCCGAAAGTTGATACATGTCTGAAATGAAATATTCATAAGTGAGAAAAATAATAATAATTATGGTTCTTTCCTTTATAAAATGTCAACGATAAGAGTATGCCCAAACATTTTGCCGTTACATTACAGACAACATGGCTGATTTATTGAGACATATTAGTCTTCAATTAATTAAAATAGGCGTTCCAATAATCGTCTGTATTAGTATCATGGGTAATACATTGAACATAGCTGTACTTTGTCGATATAAAATGCGAAAACAAGCATGTTCTCTTTACTTTATTACACTTTCTATAATTAATCTCATATATTCCCCTACTATTCTTGTCGTTAGTCTATTAAGTGATGGATATCAAATAAAACTAAATATTCGATCGTTAATTGCATGTAACCTCATTACTTATTTTGGTACACTACTCTCAGCATTATCACTCTATTTCATTGTATTTGCTTCGATTAATAGATGGTGTGCAAGTTCATCAAATACACAACGACGTAATTTGAGTAATGTTCGCACAACTAAATGGTTAATCTTTATGATCATTATATTTTTTTCATTGTTATTTATCATATCACTTGTAACGACTGGATTAAATACCGATAATACAACTAACTGTGGTATTCAAGGCAATGAAGTTTTTGTTCAAGTTTATAGTATTTTTCAATTTATTCTTTTTTCTTGTCTACCATCATTTCTCATGCTACTTTTCGGTTGTATGACAATATATAACATACAACCATATAGGAGAATGGCTTTAACATTATCAAATAATCGTCGTACTGAAAATCAACTAATTCGAATGCTTCTCGTTCAAGTAGGTGTTCAACTACTTCTTATTTTACCATTGTCCGCAGTTAATCTACTTTTATCTTTTCCTAACATTTATCAACCAACAGCAAACTTTTATTCATGCTATTTCATTTGTCGAGTTATATTTCATATGTCTATTGCGACACCATTTTTTTAATATATTCTTTCATCTCGTACTTTTAGAAAACAATTACTTAAATTAATTATCAAAATATTGCCATGCAACCATAATAATCGTATTCATGTAATGAGACATAGTGGTGCATGAATACGTATTCAAATAAATATATATATATATATATTAATGAACCCCATTTGTAAGAAGAATTTCAACTTTTACTATAGTTGAAGATTTTTATTAGGATATTGAATTGAATTTTAGAGTATATTATTTTCTTTTTAATTTTTATTTTGACATATAATTATATGATTGTATATTCGAATAAACAGATTACAAAACAAACGTTTCACTCATTCATCTATTCTCTGCGAATTTTCAAAGTCACCAGAATTATCATTATTATTTCTCTTTGTTCTCATGAACTAAAATATAAATTGTTACTCAATCTCATATCTATTAAAACCATTTATTATGTAAAATGTATTAGAAAAAAAGATCAAAACTTCATCTAGATACGTTTCAAACTGTGATTATGTTCTTCACAATTGTAGAATTTATTATGTTCAATCGACTTAAAATCAATTAAAAATGAACGTTGTCTTTTAAGAAGAGAGATAATTAGTATACGAACTCAAATGTTCAGAAAACATAATATTTTGAATTAACTGTGTGTTGTAACGTGAAAAAATAATAATATAATGACAGTAGAAATAAATAAAATATTTTTTTTTTTATTTATTAAAAATGATATTGCCGTTACATTACAGACAACATGGCTGATTTATTGAGACATATTAGTCTTTAATTAATTAAAATAGGCGTTCCAATAATCGTCTGTATTAGTATCATGGGTAATACATTGAACATAGCTGTACTTTGTCGATATAAAATGCGAAAACAAGCATGTTCTCTTTACTTTATTACACTTTCTATAATTAATCTCATATATTCCCCTACTATTCTTGTCGTTAGTCTATTAAGTGATGGATATCAAATAAAACTAAATATTCGATCNGTTAATAAAAATCCACATCTTATATGAAATAATTTTTCAGTAAGATTTGCATATATTATTAATTCTAAACGAATATATTCAAATGTTAATGTAAGACATAATGCAAAGATTTCAAAACCATATATTGTCCAATCTGTTGGCCATTTAATAAGACCTTTCCATACAAATATTAAGATTTCAGCAACAAACCACTAAAAACAAAATAAACTAATATTTTCAAATAGATATATTTATTTATTAAACATCTACTTATTTATATTGAAAGAATACATTGAAAAATGACAAGTTTAAATATCTTCAATCTTCATGAAAGTATTCAACTGATTTATTTTATCAATCATAGATGTGCAGGTTTTTTTTCCATAAGAAAATTATTAATGAACACTGGTATCAATTATCTACATTCACTTCATTACGAATTTTAATCATTCATGAGTTCGGAAGAAAACGAAATGCCGAATTATTTTAACATCGGATAACAACGAGAAAAATCAAAAAAAACTTCTATTCAATTAATCAAAATAATGCATAAAGATAAAAATAATAGAATAAGTCAATAAAAATAATCAAAATCGTGTATATTTTCATCGTTGTAGTCTTTCAAGGTGTGACTCTTTCGAAATAGAAGACTCACATCCTGTTCACTATTAGAAAACTCTGTATATGATGTTATTGAGATAGAAGAAAAGCTAACTTCGAATCGCACAGCAAATCAGACGACTGAGTATGTGCGTCGGAAAAGGATTGCATGCATGAGTGAATCTTCCGTGTAATTCAAACAGGACAAAAACTGCCGGTAGATCGCTCGATATAATGTGCCCTATACCAACGACATTCTCGAGTAGTTTGATACTTAAACAGTTAGTTATCTTCTTATCGGTATCATAACCCGATATACCGACGGTAATGCGACTTAACGTGCAATATGGACTGTTTATGTTATTTTATATTAGTATATAATGTAACAATACCAGTTTAGAGTGAATGTCAACAGGTGGGTTTTCTTATTAAAAACAAAACATTGAATATTCGCTTATCATTAATAAAAAAAATTCATTTCAATGTCGGCGAAACTTTTGTTGTGCACTAAAAGTCTTCATATTCAAGTTTTACTTTTAAATAACTATAATTTGTTGAGATCGCTAAAAATCATTGTACGAACGTATCATATTGATGATCTAATAAATCCTCAGATTAAATTATAGTAAAATTTCTGTGAAAACTTTTCTTGATTTTGATTGAAATTTTTTTTAGATATATTCAAATTGATGAGCATTACTCGTGCACTATGAGCGTATTGCATTAATCAATAATAAAAATTTAATTCATTTTTAGTTAAAATTTCTCTTAAATATTTAATTCTCTTTCAAAAAAAACTAATTTTAAGTACAAACAAAAATGATATTTTTTATTTTATTTTAACTTAGTTGGGTTAATATTAAGATCACTTTGTTAATCAACGTAATGTTTTTTTCATATAGGACTTGAGTATTACTATAACTCTTTCTTTAAATCTTATATAACTTTTTTTTGATAATTATCACAATTATTTTTAGATAAATTTTTTTTTTGATGAAAATCTATTTTAAAAGAAATTATTTTCTATGTACTTTCTTATTAATCATATCTATGAAAATTATGTTTTTAAAAAATAATAATTTTATTAACAGATTACATAATTATCAAAATTTATAATCAACTAAAAATTCAAAAAGATTTTATTAAGTATTAAACTTTATTTATGTTCGCAAATGAGATGTATCTATTACAAGAATAATCATACAAAATTAATCTAGACTCTGACGTTCACAATGCAATGTAACTAGATCATAATTTCATATTAAGTAATTAAAATAGTATAGATTTTTCATCGTTATTGCACTTTAGTTTAATGATGACTATCCAATATTTATTTTAAACAAGTTTAAATTACTAAAAATCTTATTTAACTTGTACAATGAAAACATTACTGATTCTAATGAGGCAAATTTTTCAACATACCAATTATTTGCTCATCGAAAACTAATGAATTGAAAGTTATCGATCATGCTGATAACAAATATAACTATGAGAAATGTCCTTAGGTCCTCTATATATGCTGATTTTCTAGACTAACAAACTTTTCACTAAAATTTATTTTTTCTTTGGTCAGATTATAGAATATATCGAATCATCTAGATTAAGGAATCGAAAAAAGTTTATCTCACAAGATTCTATGTAGAAAACGATATCTTTTTTGTTATTTTAATTTATACAACAAATACATATCAATGTTTCAATGTGAAAATTTTCAGAATGATATTATTTTACTTAAAACTGATTTTAGAAAATAGAAAAGATTAATCTCAAAAAGACAATTCAATATCGTCTTAAATCTAAATATTATCAAAAACGATTTTAGGAAAATTTTCATTTATCTAGAAAACTACTATATGAAGGCATACGAAGATTTCTTATGATCATGTTCGGAATAAGTATCTATATATATATAATGTTCAGTGTCTGTCTGTGTGTGTGTGTGTGTGCTTCTCTGTGCCGGATCAACGGTTAAAGGTCAAATAAGACTATAAGGAGAAGGTCCTCAAGAGCTATTATACAGGGGTACCTATAAGTCCTCAAGAGCTATTGTATGGTATATTTATAGGACATGAACAGCTATAATATGGGAGTAGCCATAGGTTCTCAAGGGACTGAGGCAATAAGAAGATAAGGCTAGAATAGCTACAAGGGATACACGGCTATAAGGCTGAAGGCTACATAGACTATAAAAATATGTGTGATATAAGAGTATCGGACCGTAGGGTTATCTATCTATATACATAATATCAAGTGTCTGTATGTCTATTCCTGAATGAAAAGTTAAACGTCTTCGATAATACGTTAAAAAAGAAAACAGCCGTGCAGTATGCACGGGCTCTCGCTAGTAGTTGATAATTTACAATTCATTAATAAAGTGATTAATCATTTGAAAAGATTGTCGCGAAAAATCTTAGAGAAAAAAAAATAAATCTTTTAATCTGATTCTTGTAGTTGATTGAAGAATTAGAAAATTTTCTATTTAAATAAAATAAAATCTTACAAGAAAAATAATAGGTCGATGAATATGACATAATACTTGTAATGGAATAGAAGATCGAATAATTGAATTATCATCCGTAACACGTGTATTAACACTTTTTATTTGACTCATTCTATCTGAAAAGACAGAAAAAATCGCGACAAGAGTAAAAAGAAGAAAAAAAAAAACAAATTTTCTTTGCTTTTTTTTGTTATTCTAAATTTTGATCATCTAATTCTTCGAGTCTTTTTTCAAGTTCATCTTTTCTTTTCATTTTAGTAATTTGATCTTTATCTAAACTTGTTTGATCTTGTTCATAACGTTTTTCTAAAACGTTAATTTCTTTTAATAATTTTTGAAGTTTTTTAATTTCTTTATTTTTATTATCTTCTGGTGTTTGTGTTGTTAATTTAGTCATTTGATTTCTTAATTGTTTTTCTTCTTTTTCTAATTTTTTAGCACGTAAAACTTTTTCTTCTTCAGTTAAAACTAAACCAGGTATAAGATTTCCATTTTCAATACGTTTTTGTGTTTCAACTTGTGTTTGTTGTCCCATAGATTGATACACAGGCATTTCATCTTGTGGAATATAATCTGCACGTACGCGTATTGGTTTTCTCCATGTACCATCAGGTCGTTGTGAACCAGGTATAAATGTTTCACCTGTAGCTGGATCACGTACAACATTTGCACGTTCAAATGCTGCACCACGTGAACTCATTTTTCCTTGTGAATTTGAAGATTTAGCAGACATCTAAAAAATTTTAAGGTTCAATACAAATCAAAACAGCAGAAATTTATCTGATGTTCCTTTTTTTTCTTCTTTGCCTTTTGACATCGCACAAACAGAACAATTGAAAATTTACACAAAACAAAAAACGAAAAGAAAATTTGAGTTCTTATATATATATGAAATACGGAGAAATATATTGACACTGTTAGAAAGAGAAAAACAAAAAGCAACAAGAGAAATTAATTTGTTGTTAAACGTGATGAGGTTTTAATGATGGTGATGAATGAAATGTATCAATAACTTGTGTACGAAGTTGTTCAACGACATGACAAAATTTAACAGCTGGACCTAATTTAAATTCTAATAAATCTTGAACTGTATTTAAATCATCAAGTAGAAGAAGAGCAGCACCATCAATTTCCTTAAACAAAAAACAAAAACAAAAATAAAATAAAAATAACAAAAAAATTACTTGTTCTTTAATTGTTTTTAATGCAAATGAGCATCCAGATTCATTTAAATACCAACAAACATCATTAACATTCCATGTAACTGGATTTCGTGGATCAATTGGTGGTGGAATTGTATATTGTTGAATTGGTCGAATAAATGGTGGTGAATTTTGACTTTCAATAGTTTGTTTAAGAATATTTGAACAATTATTAAGATCATTTAATGATTGAGATGATGAAAGAGTTGTTCGTTTTTTTTTATTTCTATTTGATGGTGATGCAGGATTTGAATTCGAAGATAATATATTTAATGTAATAGGTGATGATGATCGATATACAATTGAAGGTGATGCACAACGTTTTTTCTTTGATATACATGAACGTTTAGATTCTAAAGAAATTTTTTTCTTTTTTGTTTTTAAATATACAAGAAAATTATTTTTTTCTTTAAAACCTTTTATTGAATGATTTGTTGTTGTTGTTGTTGTTGTTGTTGAAGATGATGATGATGATACTTCGGATGTAATATTATTTATTTCTATAGGTTCTTGTTTAATATTTATATTTGATATATCATCTGTATTGATTAATTTTTGTTTTTTATTTGTTCTTGTTATAGTATGTGTTTTACGTTCAATATGAAAACGAAAACCACGTGTTTGTCTATCACATCCAGGTAATGGAATTGCTACTGTTGGTGATATATCAGTTGTATTAACTATAGCTGGTTGAATTTCTGTTGTTGGTAATTCTTCCACAACAGGACTTGGCACATTTGAAGGTACTGGGGTATTTTTTAAATGACATAATAAAGATTTTTGTTTACGATATCGATTTTGTGCAGCACGAAGTTGAGGACGTTTATGTTTTGAATGTGTAGAAAACGCTATTTGAAATATTTATAAAAAAAAAAACTTAAATTAATTTAAGTTTTAATGGAACTAGAACAGTTATTCAGTTGGAACACTTCCGACATAGGATTGATCCTTACTGAAGAAAATTTTGAGAAAAATACACAAGGAAAAAAGTTTGAAAACGTTGAGTACCTCAGTGAAAATTGATATCTCAATGTTTCAATTATATCTCGTTTAATATTCATTTAGTCGAACTTTTTTTCTTTTCAAAAAATTCATCTTTTACTTCTCTATAAAATAATGAATCTAAATAAAATTGATTATTTGTCAAAACAAGTTTCTAACCAAACAATCCAAGATAAACATTTTTGTCGATTTTTGATGATTTCATGTTTTAGTTCTTCAGTAAGAATATTATGTTGATACTACTTTTTCCCATTGAGTACAATAATTAAAATCATTTTCAATCAATCAGTTCAAAGAATTTACATCTTAACTAATTCAATGGTCACTGTTTCTTGTTATTGAAATGCGGAAAAATTCTTCTGATATAATTATTGTATTAATTGAATAATATAAGTTTTCGCATTATTCTTATGAAATCTTCAATTGGACACTGATGATCATTATTGATTATGAGACATTATATCATGCTCAATAAGTACATTATCTTATTCAAGTACCAATAAAATATAGATATGAAATCTTTGGAATAGATTTGACATTTCATGAGGACAATGAAAAATCTCATATCACTCAATTAACACAATAATCATGTTAGAAAAACTTTCTCTTTGTTCATCGACAAGAAACATTGATCACTGAATAATTCACATTTAAATTAACTGAAACGTTTGATTTGAAATCATTTTAGTTATTTTACTTAATAAGAAAAACTAGAATGAAAACATGAAATTATAAAAATTTAACAAAAATGTTTATCTTCGATTGTTCATTTGAAACAATCCAATATACTTTAATCAATTGTTAGATTCTATATGTGTTTTTCCAATAAAATATTGTAGTTATTTATTAAAATACTTCTTTGTTTTTTTTGGTTTGGTAGTTATAGCTGTCCGGCATAGTGTCAATGATGTCTGAACGTAGAGGGTATGTAGAAGTCGATTGGCAGACGAGAATATACAAGGTATATCGATCTTCTTTCTCTTCCTTTACATCTACTCTTAAATCATTCACAGAGAAATCAGCTGATCAATTCGGATGATACTCAAATTATTCAGTTCATTATTTTGCTTAATATGATTCTGCATCATCCACTCAAAAAAAAAAACAAAAAAAAATAATTCAGATAGAATCTTTCCGATGATCATTTGTCCTAGAGCAAAGGTGTCATAAATAGTTAACTACTTATGATCGTTTTTAACATACCAAAAGTATTCGTTAATATATGACATTTATTTGGACAATGATTGTCAATACGTATTAAACTAATTAAATTTGGACAAGCTTCTAATTGTGTACATATATGACGAAGATAATGATATACTAAATGAGGTTCATTTGGTATTGATATAGGACGTATTAATTTCGAAGATCTTTTAGCTGCTTTAATTAATTCAGTTTTAAGATTTGATGTTGTTTCAGAATTAATTTGATGATCTAATCGACGTAATGAACGATGAGCATTTGTTGATAATGCTGATAAAAGATGATGAAACATATCAATAAGAACATGACGATATGGACCTGGACCAAATTTTGATGGAATACGAGCAAGACGAGATGAACAAAAATGTGGTCCACAAAAACATCCAATATTCACATATATTGTTAATAAATATAATTCATTTAAATATACACGAGGAATTTTTGGATAATGTGTTACTGACGAAAATAAACTATTCAAATATAAATACAATCAATATTTCAATATCAATATATATTTCTTTTTTTATTTCATATGTTGTCTGTATAGAATAAATATTTTGACTAGATATTATCATTGAATGGTTCAATTTCATAGATCTTCTTTATAGATTTACGAATTTTTTGAAAGATTCTGATCAGAAAATTGATATTGGAAGAAAAAATTTCAGACTTTATTAATTTGTTTCTATCACTTGTCTATCTTAAGATTAACCTTCATCTTTAAAGAAGATCTATAAATTCGAATACATTAGCTAAAACATTCTTCATTTTTTTGTTTTTTTGGCTTAAGAAATAAGTCGACGAAACTTAAAAGGATCATATATTTATAGTTTACATATGATCTATGAACAATGTCAAAATTCAAAGATAAATAAACATCAATAAAATAATACTACACAAAAAAACATAAACTTAAAGATCTTTTCTTTTTGGTCGAAGGATGCTAAGACAAACTGAATTTCAATTGAGAACACTGGCGAACTCTACAAATTCCTAGATTTAATCTGACTTCAATTACAATTGAATATAACTTAATATAGCAATTCTTAATTCTTTTTTCAGGAACTTCAATTGAAACATGTTTCAAAACTCTTGAAGTAGTTTCGATTTTTTGAAAAACAACTTAAGTAAAAATAAAATAATAAAAGACTCGAGATTTTCTATTGCAGAGACATTGTTTAGTCTAAATGTTCTCCAATGTACACAATGAAAGAGTTCAAAAACTAAAAAAAAAAAAAAATCATTTCGAATAACTCCTTCGTAAGATAATAATCGATATTATAAAACACATAGAGTACATTATCAAATATTGATGTATCATAGAACTACATATAATATAATGGTAAAGATAGATAAATCAATTTCAATTATGATTATAAAAATATGAATTTTGTCTTTATTTGATCATCTATTTATTCAATGAGATGATAAAATTATTCAAACTGATATCCATTATTTGAATTCATATTGATTTCATAAGAATGTTTAGAAAAATCTTCAAAACGATTCGTGCTCATAGAACTCTGAATGTGAGTTTTTTACTGTTTTACTAAATTTTCGATTCATCTTTAAGTATTTACCAAAAAATCAAATAACTAAATTTCGTCTATAGATGGATCTAATGACTGTGAATATATCCTTAAAAGTTTAATATTTCAACAAAGGAATATTTCAGGATATTTCTAGAGTGATTACGATCTGTCTATGAGTGAAATAGAGCTATTTCATTTTTCGGTAAATATCTAAAGATGGATCAAAAATTCAGTAGAACAATTAAAACTTATCTCCAGAGTCCCATAGACACGAACTCTTTTAAGATTTTTTTCTACTCTTCTTTGTCAACTCAATATGATCTCAAAAGATGAAAATCACTTTGAATCAAACTCTCGCGAATAGATTCTAATAATACTTAATGTAAATTCTAATGAAAATTTCTATATTACTTATAAATATTTCATTAAAAAAAAAAAAGAAAAGAATGAATTTATATTCTCTTACTCATATCGATTTTGTTCATATGTTTTAATATTAATTTTATATTGAATAGGTGTTATTAAATCAAATCCATTAAATTTTGCCCATCCAACAGGAAAAACATCTAATGAATTAATTGGTAAAACATGATATAATAATTTATCATCATTAAATAAACTTGTATCATCAACTCTTAACCACATAAGATGATCAGTAACATGTATAAGTGTTACAGAAAAAACATAATCTTTATTATTTAATATATAAATCATTTCCATTTTCATTCCAGGTTCAACACGATTATTTCCAGCAGCATTTAAAGTTATTAAATTAAAACATCTTTCAGGTGCTAAATTATTAATACCATTTTTTTCTGTATATAAATTCCAATAATCTTCTGTTTGTCTAATATCTTTACCATTGATTAATGCAAGTTTATGTTCAGCAGCCCAATGTGCTGGTAATATATGTGGATCAGTTGAATATCCTATAAATGATAATTCATTATCATCTTCATTATCAATAATAACATCAAAATAATATTCATTATGAATATGACCAATTCTACCAATATAAACATTTTGTTTATTTGATTCAAATACTTCTAATTTCATTCCTTCCGTAAAACGATGTTTAACTATTTCTTCTTGTTGTTTAAATAAATTTGGTGGAAGAAATTGTTTTTTTGATTTATTTAAACATATATCAATTAATTTTTCTTTAGCAATTTTTAATGTTAAACATGTTGGAATATCATAAATATAAATTGAAGAATTATTTGTTGTCCAACCAATAAAATGAACACGACGATCAAGATAAAATATATGAATATCTGAAGAAGATAAACTAGAATCTTCTTCTTCTTCTTCTTCTTCTTCTTCATCATCATCATCAGTTATATTAATAACATATCGCAGATGTAATCGTCCACCACGATTATTGATTATTCGAGCAAACCATACATTCCATGGACAATTTATATCTTGTAATTCAAGTAACATACCTTTTTTTAATTGTTCACAAGCATTTAAACCGATTTCCTATAAATTAAAACAATTATCACAAAAAACTAATTCTTAACGAAAGAAATATTAATTTATAAGTATAAACAAATATAGTAAACAAGAAGAAAAAGTCTAAATCACTTTGACCAAAATATTTCGTGTAGTTTTTCCCTCCCAGGAGAGACGATTATAAATCTCTGGATAGGCAAACACTTCTATTCGTGAGTATAGACACATAACAAGCAACTTTGACATGGTCAACCCCATCGTTGGAGAGGCGCTACCCCCAAGATTCTCACGCTAGATAAAACACTGTTTGACTATTTAAAATAAAATACCTAAATTCATGTTTAATATTATTTTTGAGATTTTTAACTAATAAATTTGACTAGTTGAAATATTATTATATTTTATCATTAATTAACTTGTTCGAAAATTTTCGTCAGTATAACAATCGTCTATCTAACTTACAGAATCCATCTTTGATTTTTCTAAGTATTAGAATAAAGTGAATTGATAAACTACTCAATTAAATCTATAGGACATTACAAAAGTCCATCGGAAAAACTAACATAAATCTCTTATACATTTCAAGCGTTTAAATTTATTTTTGTATCATATGTTAGTAAATTCTATATATTTTCAGATAAATATCTGTGCCTTTAAGCATTAGAATATTAATAATTTTACTTCTAGTCGAATTTGAGTCATCCATGGTTGTGAAACGAAAACTACAAGTCGAGTTCGACAAAAACATATTAAGTGAACATTACATTAAAGTTACATATGAATAGTTTTATGAAACTAGTTCAATGAAAGATCAAGAACATTTGAAAGACCATGAAAATATATAGAAGATGTCAACGAAGTTTACGATGTTTGTGGAAAATAATTCAGAATGAATTGCTTGAGTTGTCGCAAAGACCTACTTCATTCCATGAACAAATTGTATCTTGTAAAGTTCTAATGAAAGATATTCAGTTATAATTAGATGCGCTATTGTTTATGGAATAGAGCAAGTCTTTGCGGAAGTTCGAACAATTGATTGTCGGTCATTTCTCAGATTTTCAAAACATTCTCGATCTTTCATCACAACAGTTTCACAAAAGCATTGAAATGTAATTTTAATATAATCTTCACTTACGAGGTAACATATGTAAGTGTAAAATCGCTTTTCAGTCAAGACTATGCGCATCATGTAGGCGTTAGTGAGTCTAGAAGAAGCCCAAAAGAACAAGGGCTGCTAGGTCTATCTTTCCGAATTATGACCGTTTTATTGAATTGTTTACCCTATACAAGGTACTTCGAGGCAAATCGAAAGAAGGAATTTTGAGCTGAAATTTTGTCCATAAGTAGGCCTAATGATTCCTAGAATGTCCTAAAAGTTTCAGCCAAAATGAATTTTCTCTTCTTAAGATATTCAATTTTTTTAAATAGCCACCTGTTACAGACAGTTCACAAAATTCGAGATTCTTGTAAGTCCAATATCTCGAGAAAGGAACATTCGTTTTGGCTGAAACTTTCAGGACATTCTAGGAATCATTAGGTCTACTTATGGGCAAAATTTCTGCTCAAAATTCCTTCCTTTGATTTGCCTCGAAGCACCTTACATTGGGTAAAAAATTCAATAAAACGGTCATAACTCGGGAAGATAGGACTAGCAGCCCTTATCCTTTTGGACTTTTTCTAGTCTCACTAACGCCTACATGATGCGCATAGTCCCGACTCAAAAGCGATTTTACACTTACATATGTGACTTCGTTAGTGTATTTTTGTCGAACTCAACTTGTAGTTTTAATTTCATAACCATAGGTGACTCAAATTTGATTATTTATCTGAAAATACAGAGAACATATATATATAATAGAAAAAACAATAAAACCATTTTAAGTGTATAAAAGATATTTAGGTTAACTTTCCCGATGAAGTTTTGACGAAATGCCTCGTACATTCTTTTTCTTCGTTTGAAAAATATCATCCTAAAAAAAAATTCTATAATTTAAGTAGCAAAATTGTTTACCTTATCAAATAAATATGCAGGTGGTGTTTGGGTAATATTATTAGTATCTCCTTTAATCATATTTGATTGTTTATCATTTCCATTTGATGTAGTATGATTATTATGTAATGTTATTTGTTGAATAGCTCGTTTAGTAACAATTGGTGGTGGTAACATTAATTTACTATTTTCTTTACACCATCCAATAGGATGACAACGTTGTCCATAAATATAAGCCCAAAAATCATTTGATGTATCATCATCAGGTAAACCAACATAATGTAAAAGAATTAAACTATGTGATATTAATTGTATTTGTGTTAACCAATATAAATCACGTTGTATATCATAACAATATTCAAGTTTCATATCAATTTCAAAACCGGATTCAATTGATGCTAAATAATGATCAAAAAATTCATCGGATACAGATCGTTCATCAATTTGTGATAAATATTTTGACCAAAGAAAATTTGATAAACATAATCGAGAAGAATTTAAACAAGGTTCGAGTTCATGAATTATTATTGTTCGACTAGATGATGAACTAAAATTAATGGTTTGTTTTTTTTTTTTTTTTTTTTTTAAGAAGTAAAATCAATTAAAATATTTGAAAAACAAAAACAATAAAAATGTATTTTTACTTGGTTTTTTTCCTCGAATAACAAAGATCAAGTTTTGATTGATTTCTATTTGAACTATCTGACAATGAATCTTCTTGTATTGAATGATGTTTTAATTGATCAGTTAATGATTGTTCAATATTTAATTTATTATCATTATTTATAATTAATATTTGATTAAAATCATCATCAATTGAATCTGTATAATTACATGTTGATTTATTATTCCAATTATCAATTATATAATTTGATTCATTTTTATTCATTATTTCTGTTGTTGCTGTTGTTGATCGTTGACTAAGATCAAGAATAAATTCTTCATTAGATGTATTAATAACATCTTCGGATATGAATGAAGAAAGAGGAATACCACGAGTTACAATAAGACCTGATTGAGCATCAGTAGTCACTAGATTATCAAATGTTGTATCCATTGAATATATTCTTTCTCTTTTACATTACTCTTATCTGGAAAAAAACGCGAATAAGAAAACAAAATTTTCTTTTCTTTTTTCTTAATAATCAACGGTGATCAAGGTCAAATTGATTGAGCTTAAATATAGAGAGTAATAAGATGAATTTTATTGAGATTATTTTAGTAAGAGTTGTTGATGTGAAGAATAAGTAACATGACGTAAAAAAATATTGTTCCCTAGGAAAAAAAATTTTTGTTAGAAGAGAGAGAGAGAGAGAGAAAGAGAGAGACAAGACGACAGGAAGAGAAGACGAGAGAGTACCTTTATCATTCTCAATACAATTGTTGATTATTATTTCAACCATTCAGAATAAATAACATCTCCTTTAACAAAAAATTATTATTTACAATAGATGGCGCTTTTTTAAAAATAAAATCATTGTATAATTAAGAAAAAAAAAAAAACAAAAAATTATCAAAATCGAATCTTTCAATACTCATTTTATATGAAGAAGAAAAAAAAGAATGTATATCAATAATGATTATGCAATTAGCAATAGTTCCGTAGACAAACAACATATAGCAAAGATTGTCAAGTCTCTTGTATTGAAAAACAAATAATTGTAAATTATATTAAAGAAAAGAAAAACTAAATTTTGTTAAATAAATTATTTGTTAACCAATAAAGAGTAAAAAACAAAAGAATGTTTTTTGCGTAACATAGAACTTACTTTATTTAAAAGTGAATATGAGATGTAGGAAACATGAGTAATCTCACTTACAAATGAATAATGCCTCTTACTTGTTACTTCTTTCTCTACAACAAAAAAAGAAAAAAATCCCTATTTCAATTCTGAAGTTTGCATGCCGAAACAATCAACATGATATCACTAGGAAAATATCAAAAACAAAATAGAACCCGAACATATATTTGAATAATATATTCGGCGAAAACCATCTCGAATACACTTGTTCCGTCTTATGACTATTAACTCATTTTTGTGTCTATGCCAACAATGTTTTTTTTATGTAAAAATATTCAAAATCAGAACTATTTAATGAATATTTTCATCAATATGAATTGTATTCGAATAGTTTTATCAATAAAATCAATTTCGAACAGAAGTTTAAACGAATGTTAAGCAGACGACGAGTTAAAAGTTAATCATTTTAATTATTAAAATAAAATTCAAATAAGCATCAATGCGCAACAAGGTTTCAAATATGATTTTTATTTAATCATATGAAAATTTTAACCGAATCTTATTTGATAATTTAATTGAAAGATACAAATAGATATGAGATTGTACTTTTTAGAGTTCAGTGATTCCGAATAAATTGGAATTACTGAGAACTGAATCCAAACTTACTTTTTTGGAAATTTATTGGAACCGAAACCAGAGAAAAAAAAAACACTTTGGAATCATCAAAGAAATCGAAGTCGTTAAATCATTAGATAGTTAGAAAAATTCTTAAACCTATGTCGAGAAATCGTTATTTTTCATTGTTGAGATTAAAGATTTCAGTAGATATGTATAATACGATTTTGTTTAAGTACTGAAATATGTGACATCTTTAATCTTAACAATTCAATAGTGAAAATTTCTCAAAATATACTTCAAATTTTCGTGTCTTTTTGATGATTTTTGGAATTTCTGCATTCTACTTGTACTTATCTTAGAAAGTTTGAAAAAAGACGACATTACGTAACACTAGTAGGTGAATTAAATAATAGATAATTGCGAAAGATTTTTGAAATTGACTTGAATGTCGTAATATCTTAGTATTTGTCGAAAACTCAATTTTTCAAAAAAAAACATCGGTAATTTTTATTGTGTCAGAACAAGAAATTTATTATTACATCACGATATCATTAGTGAGTGGCTCGAGAAGTTTTCTAATAGATGAATCGAAAGTCTTCAGATAATATCTATGCGTATTTTTGACTTCGTTGAAAGTGTTTTCGAGAAGTCCAAAGCTATGGGTTATGACCAAAGTTTTGTACTCTTTCCGACCATAGACTTAGAAAATTTCTTGAGACCAATTAAATGATCGATAGCTTGGACGGAATATTTTTCTGTACACTTTTGTACTTTGATTGTTACAATTCAAAAATAAATGTTGACACCTTTATTAATATATTAACTTATAGAGCAAAAGTTACTCTAAAAAAATGTACTATTGAAAATTTTTCTACAGAGTATTTCAATTTTCATTTGTCTTAAATCTTCATTTTTGACCAAGAAATGTTTTGTATAGAAAGAAACTCTTGGAAAGGACCTTTTAATTTCACTTAGGTAAAAGTTACAGCTTAGTTCAATATAGATTTTATAGAAAAAAAGTGTCCGCTCAACGAAGCCAATCACTCGAATATTTGTTGGTATCTTTGAAAATATACTTATAGAGGTGAGAAAAAGTCTATTGATCCACTAATAAATTTAATTTTTTGAACTTTTAAAAAATTTCTTGACTAGTCTCGAACAAAAATAGATACTATATCACTATTTTCCCATACTCAAAGAGAGAACAAAATTCTAATTATGATCCATAGTGTTTGGCTTGTCTGGAATACTTTGAAGTAGTTAGTTCACAATGACTAAACCAATTGCAGCAAAATATTTTCGTCTCAATTCATTTTTTTTTTGATTTTTCAAAGATTATCTGACAACTCTTGATTAAAAACTAAGATAAAATTTCAATGACCATATTTGGAAAGTCCACAATATGTTGGTTCCGATCCATAGGTGTTGATTCCTTGGAAACACTTTGAAAGGCGTCAAAAATAAACATATATTTTGCTTCAAAATTTTCGAATCAGTTGCGTTAGAGACGATCAATTATAATCATAGTGAATTCATCTATGATACAATATGAGTCATCACTGGTATATTCATAGAGAAATTGAATAATAGCGAATAATATTAAAAATAGATGTTTACTAAGACATAACATTTCTATATTCTATTCAAGCTCATTTTGAAAAAGCTAAACAAAGCTTTTAGATGGCTTTTTTTGGCACACTATTGAATTCTAATATAGATGATGGTGATATTTTCCTATTTGAAAGAAACTTTTTAATTGAAAAACCAATACCAATGTAGACCCAATTTAATCTAACAAGTATTACATTGTAGTAGTTAAAGCAATGATTAATGTTTTATTCGATGAATCATCCTTGTCTTGATCATCCAATCGATCCGATGTTGTTGTTAACATTAACATTGTCATTGTTTCTCGATGCAACGGATTATTCATTCAAGGACATCAACTCAACCAACAACTAATCAGACGTTAATTCATTTTACTACGAATATTAAAAATGATTTTTACGTACAGTTAAAGAAAATCAGATTCAATCAAACAATTATTTTATTTACAAACTTATTTCAACTACGTTTAGTATCAAGAAAAAAGTCTTGTAGAAATTATCTGTTGCAGAGGGACCTTGTAAAATAATTGAAACAACTTCAAAATCTTTTTTTTGTTGGGTAGATATTTATTCAGAAAATTCTTTATATATTAGGTCAGTATAATTTTATCTGTTACTGATCATAACTTAGAGAGTATTCGGCGTAAGTTAAGAGAAGATTCACACTCACACTCTTTATCATCAATAAAAAAAATTATGTCAATCGGTATTGCTTTTTGTCTGATTTATGAAGTCATTTTTGATTAATCTCGGCATAAAAATGTATAGAACTTGTTGAAAATTGTGTCATAACTCTGGTTAATTTCAAGAGTTTGCTTAAAAATATTCTCTAGCGAATGGTCTTCTCTCATCAAGTTTTTTTTTCCTGGAAATTTCATGATTTCAATGATTGATGAAGAGGATATTCCAGGTTGAAGCTATTCTAAACAAAAGTAGCACTTTAGGCGGTCCAAAATTACAGCCTATTAAAGTACCTTTTCTTATGGCACAATATAGACATGTGGAACTTTATTTGTTAATAAGAAAGTGAATGTTAACAGATCAATATAGTGACGAATTAGAAAAGTGTCAAAAAATACCTTTTTTTCTGAGCTTCCGTAGAAAAAACAGTGTTTTCATCTTAGGTTCGTTGTATTAAAAAGTCAATTGATTCTGAATTGGTAATTGCAATCAGGGCTTGTCGAGCTCTATTAATAATCAAAAAATCAGGCAAAAGAATTGAAGCATATGCACTTTTTACTCTTTTGGCAATACTTCATACATCTACTAATATTAATCAATATGAATAACTATTTCATTTATCTATTTTGATTATCTTTGAGCATATTATGTATTGCTATTCAAAATTGATTCTTATCAACAATTATATTGTGAGTCTATATTAAAATTCGAAGATTTAACAAGAAAAAGTTTATGAAAATAAGACTAAATATTCGAGAATTTTAATCAAACAATGATCTCAATGAATGAAGAGCACAACCTTCATAAGTGTAGATATTTTTTTCAAAGAGAAAAATCGATCAACAAAAAAATATTGCATAAATATATGAATATGGTCAAATTCTTTATTTCGCTTGTATTACCTGAGAAAATCTGTCTTGTCAAAGTCTTTTGAAACTGAATAATTGTTATTATTTCGAATTGTTCTACCAATGATTTCAAGTGAAATTATCATTGTGGTTTTTTCTTCTAAATGAAGGTTTTTCAAAAGATTTATATTTCCTTTTCAATCAATATCCTACAAACCATTATTTATTTGATAGACTCTAATTTTATGAAAATCATTCTACGGTTTATATGTATCGATCATGCTTTTTAACTATGAAAATCGAGCTGAAAAACAGTATAAAGTTAATTCAATAAAATTTCCATATAATAAAAACTTCTGTATGTTGTGTTGTAAACACATGTCGTGATGACGAATGTCGTTAGAGATCTAGTCAGTCTATCCAATAAATGAATTACTTATAATAGAATTAATCAGTTCATTCTTATATATTTTCTTTAATATATATATTGTTATACTTTTTTGGTCATCAATCGACATTGAATTAATAATAGATTAGGTATTATTTATTTGTATCGTAAATACTATTCGATAGAGTTTTAAACTGAAAAAAGATTTTATTCCACATTAAGCTTAACAGTCTAACATGATTGTTTTTGTATTATATATACCTGGTAGGCATATACCAGTGGTAATTGATTGACTTTAAGTAGTCGCCATTGTTACAAAATACATGTTCTATTGTTAAATGTCTTGGCTGTATAATTATGAACATATAGATTACTTGTTGGTTTTAATAGATGAATAAAAAGAAATTTTATGGTTAGAAATGATGATTGAATAATATTTTTTCTCACAAATCGGTATTACATCAGAAAATGTACCTTTATGTGTTTGACTAGTTAAACTTTTAAATAATGATTTCAACCATATGGCTGCTGTGAAATAATTATCCATTTGGGTATAATTGTCAAAGTTGTACTTATAAAATATAAGCATATTAATATGACGTATTAAAGCAAAAACTAGAAATCATGATATATAATTAATATAAATAATTCAATTCAATTAATTCTTTTGTCTACCAAAATAAAATTGACTTATAGGTACCAATATCCTTTGTATTGTTTCATAAGTATATTTATTCGTCAACAATCACCAAATCATTTGGGATAATTCATCATATAAAACTCAATCTTTAACAATGCTTTATCTACAGTCATAGCAACATATTTATGCACTTCTTTCTATGTTACCATATCAAAATTCATACGGAGACAAATATCTATTCGAAAATATAATCAGTAAAGCTGTCAGAAAATTGTAATTCATTGTTGCGATTGCATTCTTTTAAAGATCATCGTTATGATTCATCACAACTGCTGAACAAGTTTTTAACAAATATTCATAATGAATGATGCAAATTATATAGCTGATGAAATTTGTTCTTGTTAAACACATAGGGTTACTGAACAACTTTTTCATATATGGAATCGAGCCGATCCAGTTGAACTGTAAAACCGGTCAGTTTTTATCAATTTTTTCGATATTGAATCTAATGTATTTTGTTCGTTTTCATTGATTTCCAATGTTTTAAAAACTAAAAATATAAGCTTGAAAATCTTCAATTGATAAATTTTTAATCATCATCATAATCATAACTCTAAATATTGAGCTCACAAATTCTTATCTTACGATTTAAGGAGTTTGAATTATGTTCAATGAATTTATTATGATCAAGAAAAATTAGCTAGTCACGATAAGTTAAATTTTTTTTTTAAATAAAGATTTTTCATCTCGAAATGTTGAGCTCAATTTTCTGCACTACTTTTAACCGATTGTCAGAAAGTGTCTATGATTAGTAGTTTTTAGTTCATCCTTTTGATACAAAAAGAAAAACAAAATTGAGAAAAGATTCTGTTCTATTGAGAAAGTTATGCCGACCACTGGAATTATGCCACTAGAAAAATATTCAGTTATTAAGAAACTTAAATATATAAAGTCTTGTCTCTAAAGTGTACTTTATAGTTCATTTCATGTTTCTATTGGTAGTAGTATTGTTTTACAAATTGTGAGACCCTCATTTGTTTTAATTAATGATTTCAAATAAGAATAGATGAAACTATATCAATTCTTGTAAAGAATTTATATCTTTAGTAGAGAAAATGAGACAAAATAAAGCACAGATATTTTCCCAACATCTGTTGTCATGAATTAGTACATGAGAAATTTTGAGAGAGTTCTTCCTTCATTCTTAGTGTTATTATATATATATATAGAACGTGATAAACTAAAATACAAATTATTACTATTAGAAACGTTAAGAGTTGTATGAGTTATGTCTTGGTGGAACTGTGTTAATAAGCTTTTCTCGAAAGAACTAGACGGTTAATTGAATTATCAAATAGAGAAGGTTTTTGTTAAACTCAATTCTCTATTTAAATCACCCGATTTTCACCGATTAGATCAATAGTTTCAGTCGACTAGTCCGATCGAAAAACTTTTATAGTCTTTGCTAGATGATAATCTATGAACAGACAAATCTCTTTTGGTTAGTTTTATTTTGTCACATAATAGTAATGACTTGACAAAAATATTTGATGTACCATATCCTCTGAAAGAACGCTAACTAATGAATTCATGTCATCTATTAAATTTTACTTGGCAAAAATCAATTCATTGAAACCAAGACTTATAACATAACACATAAAAATACAATTGAAAAAAAAATACTTCAATATGAAATTTATTATCGTATATGCTAAGCTAATAATTAAAATTATTTTCTCTCAAAATATAAAATTTTGAATGATAATTCGCCTAATTTAATATCAATCTAAGTTCATATTAGAGTTGCTTATTTAACAAAAGGCGTTAAGATTTAATAAATAGAATATACATTAAAATATGTAAGATTTACTTCGAACGTTTTATTCATTTCATATTATCAAAATGTAATTTTAATAGAAACAAATGAAAGAATGAATACTTTACGCAGAATCGCAATAGAATCGGTATGCAGTTGTATATACAGAAAAACAAAAAAAAATAATTTTGCTTCTCAACATAATTGATAGTGAACACTATATTCATTAGTTATTTATTTTAAAAGATTTTGATCATATTTTATACGAGTGCTTGTTTCATTTCCTTCATTTCAAAATTGTGTACCTTGGTTTTTTTCTTGCAAATGTTATATTTAAGCGCAATAGTTAAAATAATGGCTGCAGCTGTGATAATTGGAATAACAGTAGCTAAAACAACAACTAAAACATTGACAGATGTTGCGGTTGAAACATCATCTGTGAGTACTGCTATATAAGGAATACTACTAGTAGTTGTTGTAGTCAGTTCAACAGTTTCACTTATTAGACCAATTGATGTTTCAATGGGCATGAACATTTTTGTAGTGGTTGTTGTTGGAATTGTACTTGATATTATTGTTCTATTTTCTATGGTACTTGTTGGCAGGATTTTATTTGTTGTTTTTGTTGTTGTCATTCTTGAAGTTGTCGTAGTACTTGCATTTGTACGTGTAAGAGTGCTTAACATGGAAGTTGTACTTGGAGTTGTCCTAGTACTTGTAGTTGTACTTTTAAGGGTACTTGACACGGAAGTCGTATCTGAAGTCATTGTAGTACTTGTAGCCACAGTCGTGGTCAAAGAAATCATTGTTGATGTAGAGATCGTTGTAGTCGAACTAGTACTTGGTATTACCGACGTAAGAAACTAGAAAAAATTGACGATAAGATTTATGAAATACTATTAAGACCGTTGTAGTTAGAAAACCGTCTGTACATGTAAGTTAAGAAAATATTTTCCGAGAACTCTCAGACTGATTTTAACAAATAATACAAATATTTGCTTATCTTAAAATTTCTACATTAATTAACAAATCATCTGTGGCTTTATTACGTTATGATACTGTTTATGCCATTATCTGTCCTTTTTTAAAAATGTTAAATGAAGGATGCGCAAGTACAAGTACAAATTGCATTCGAACAATGAATGATACTCCATTGCGTAAAAGAAGTATTCGTGCATTTGATGTATTGACATGTATATTGCCATATACCTATACTGTCATGAAGAGTTCAGTACATGCTAGTACATGAAATCTATAACTCTTGATTTTTCAAAAGATATGTTTTGTTATAGCAATACATGTACCATAGATATCTGTCACAGCTAGAAATCTGCCACTGCTGCGCCGCAGCAGCACCTCTAACATCTATCTAAGGATTAGAAATTACTGTTGTCAATGGTTCTGTTGTGGTTATGCTTGTTATTTGTTCAATAGATGTGTCCGATACACTTAAATAGAAAGAAAAGCAAAAACATATACAAAAAGATGAAAAAACATTATGCTAGTCTCACCTAGTTAGAATCACAGTATCGGCTGTTGTTGTTTCCATTGATGTTATTAATGTAGTATCTGTACTTTCAGTTAAAGGTTTGTCAACTATAACAAAGTTTATTGATAAAGAGTTCACTTTTGAAATGTATTCATACTTACAACAATTTCCTTGATAAATTGAAATTTCATCGATTGCAATATAGGATCGTACTCCAACAGATGTAGTTTTTTTCTCAAGGTTAAAGTAAATCTAAAAATAACAGTAAACAAATGCAAGAATATTGGTACATCATTCAAATAAATAGATTACTTTGTATCCAGACGTTGCAGTAGTAAAATTCACTTCGTGTTTTATCCATCCATTGAATGGACTACTTTTAACGTTGTCAATTATTTCACTGGTGCTTCCTACTTCTTCTTTACGTACATTAATAATATGTTGTGTTCCATTCATATTTGAGAAAAAATAATAATACGTTAGACATTGTTGGTTGATACCATTAATACTTCCCGAGCCAGTTTTCAAAGGTAAAGATATTAATTTCGAAGAGATGAAACCAAAATAACCATATTTACCTAGAATATTTATTTTTTAAATAAGGATTCAAAATATCTAAAAAAAATGCTTTCAACGTTGTCAAAATTTACCAGGTCTACATTCAGTATTTTGATTACTTGGTGTTGGACAATAACCATTGTTACAAAAGTACATGTCCCAAGTGTAAGTACTGAAATTGTACGGTAATATACATGATTCTCCAATGCTTGTTGGCATGACTGAAAAGATAGAAGACAAAAGATTGATGTGATGAAGAAGAGGTGGTAAATCTTACGACTCGATGTGACGTCAGATAAAGGCATAATAGGTGGCTGTTCATTAGCACTTGCGACTGCATCCGAAGGAAGCATTGCTTCGCTTCCTTCTGGCAAAAAGCAGGTATTGCCTATGATGGCATTATCAAAATTACATTTGTACAATATTTGTGCAGAAGTTGTTGCTATTAAAATAAATGCTAAACACAAAATATGTCGCAGTGTATGGTTAATTATTAAAAATGCTACCAAGAGAAAAAGTTCGTGTCAAACAGTCCATGATATTGAATTTTTCTTACAACGTACAATGATTATTAAATTTGTGTTTTATTATTCTGCACAAACAACTGAATGAATAAACGTTATCTAAAGCCATACTCAACGATATCTTTTCATGTTTTCGAAATGTTTTTTTTTTTATTTTAGATTAGACGAATATTCATCGTTATGAAAGGTAGGACAACATTTCTGTTAGGAGTGTTAAGTTACCTTTTTTCTATCAAATAAAGAGAAATAAAAAGAAAATATTTTTTTCATTGATAGATGAATAGACAAGTACCTGGTAAAAAAAGAGAATATATGCTAATCAGCGTACTTTCTTATCATCACCAACATGACGATATATGATGTTGTTAAAAATAGGAAGATATGGAAGGAGATATATGAAAAAGAACGCAGTCTTGTTTGTATGACTTTTGATCTTTATATGATATTGCAATTTTTTGTAAGATATCTGCTGGAAAAAAGGATCAAGTTTTCATAGAAAAAAAATTTCTTTAATATTTATTTTATCTTGATTTTTTAAAACTAAAGAATTTATTCATTATTATTTTATAAATATAAAAATTTAATTTTTAAATGAATAATAAAGATAAATTAACATCTGTATTTTACGTTTGTGATGGAAATGATAATTTTATTTAGTTAATTTATTGTTTATTATAAATCTGAAGAAACCTAATAAAAAAGTTATTGATAGAATTTGAACTTTATATAAGAATATCTAATCGAAATTTGATCTCATTTCTATTAGCAGAGATGGTAAATGTAATTTCATAATAGAAGAAATAAAAATATGAATTTTTATCATATTATTTCTCTGCATGACATAATAACAATATGTAAAATTTACGAAAAATAATATGACAGAATTTATTGTATTTTGCCTCTTAAATTTAATTTCTTTAAATAATTGATACAAATACAAGTACATATATCGAAATTTTCCAGAAAAAGCTCGATGAATGTGATGCTACGTAATTTGAGGTAAATGTTTTGTGTAAATTCACTGATTTATACATTATAGAAATAAACAGTGATAGTTCATTTCTGTCCAATGTAAAATTTACTTTAATTATGTTTTTATATTTACATTATTAAGTCGATGATAATTAATATTAAGATGAATAGAGATAATTTTGTTTTTAAATAAAATCTAGTAAGATTTTCTTTCGAAAGATATTCAGAGTTAATGATTTGTGTGATATTTTCGATGAAATAATAAGAAATATAAAAAAAATGAACGATAAGACATGAATTTCAATGAATTAATTGTTTTAATTTTAAGTAGATTAATTATTTTCGAGATGGTCACCTTGATACTTGATTAAGTTTCAATAGAGATGATAATATTTTTTTCTTTGGATGAAACTTTTTAATCCAAACAACAATTCCAATAATTGCAATTAAGACAATAGAAATGACAGTAGTCAAAACAATAATATAAATATTATTGAATTCTGTAGATTAATGATCAGAAGTAAATGTAATCAAACTGTTCGAGGTAATGGTTGCTGACTTAAACAAAAGAAATAAATATTGAAGAGAAAATTTATGGAGAAAGATTTCTATGAATCTAATATTCAATGAATAGTAAAAATGTTGATTTTTATTTTATTATAATGAAGAATATTGATTTAAATTCTTTTTATTTTTGTGAAAAATTCCAAGTCATAAGAAAAATAATACGAAATAGTTTTGAATTTTATGTTTAGTTTATTTCAATAAGGTTTTTATAGACTTTGTCAAATGCTGTTATTAAATTCTTTACACAAAATTTTATAATCGATAAAAATTTATGAACTCAACAAAAATTGTAAAATATCAAATGGTCAAAATCACTTGAAAAAGTATAAAACATGTTACAAATAATCCTCTCAGATACAATTCTTCACAGTTGATACTATACTCGATTATACTTGTGACTTACTGATATTGAAATACAACTTATTAAAACATAAGATTTTGACTGTAAAATTGCACATGTTTGGGATTTATAAATGTGAAGAGAAATGTTCTTTTCCTACAGTAGATACCTTATATATTTTCTTGTAAAATTCTCCAGGATAATGCTACTTTCATACATTAATAAATAAAAGTCGTCAATATTTTTTTTATTTTTTTCTTTATTATATATCGATTGATTTTGTATAGCAGAAAATTGTCATTTTATGGATTAAAAGCCATGCAAATACTACTAATTTTCAATTGGTTGTTTGTATATTTTTCTTATTATCCAATTATATATTATTTGTATTATTCAAAACAGAAAATCACATCAAATTAAATAGATAATTATTTTTATTATGTTTAATATTTATGTCAAAAGAATGGTCAGCTTTAAATGGACTAATAAAAGTAATATAAGACAATCTAGATAAGAAATTTGCTCAGATAATACATTAACAGTTATAATTTATCAATAAAGGGACGATTTCGATCACGAAATTTTTGTTAGACTTGACAGAGTGAGCATGTGTTTCAATACTGAAGTAGATAATTTCGTATGATGGGAAATTTGAATTTGCAGCAAAATTGCTTTCGCGAAAAACAAGAAAGATTTGTCGCAATATCGATTTACATACATAAACAGCGGTATTAGTGGTATAAGGAGATTCGTATGATGAATATTATGAAATACATGAACTGAACGAGGAAAAGTCCAACTTCATCGTACATCCACTGTACTCCAATTGTATTTCAGATGTAGTCGAATTTATTTTGAACTCGATAGAGTCACGCTTTTTCCCTCTTGAATTTTCTTCTTCACACTTATTTGTTTGTTTATATTGCACCATCAATGTTGTATTGTATGACAATCATTAATTTTTATCATCTATTTTATTTTACATTTTCTTTTTTTTTAAATTTGTTTAGAAATAATTGTTTCATTGGAAATGATGTCTTTTATGATAATTTCCGGTTCGTCTATACTCACACATAACTATACAGAAAATCAACGAGAAATAAATTTATTTTATGATTTCTAATCATTACAAGTGATTTTTAGCATTAGAAATCAGTTTGTTCTTCCTTGTTGTAGAGTTAAAATTCAATTATCAACTCTTAAATGTCTTTTATTATACAAATAAATTTATTTCACAGATTACATCTTCTTGAACATGATCATATTAATTACTTTCTAGACTTTGTTTCCTCCCAACAATACAAAATACACAAGACACATTTCTTCTTTTGTTTTTTGTTTAATTCTTTATCTTTCAATATAATAATAATAATAATCTATTTTGTAAAACTAACACATGATGACTATTCATCTATTTTTGCAAAAGGAAAATAATTTTGTAAAGATTTCGAATATTTTACTTCTCCGAAGAAATATATTTCATTTATTTTTGCACAATTAATTCGTGTATCATCTCTTGTAAAGTTATGTGTCATTTTTTCTAATGATTTATAATTAATATGAAGAAGAATATTGTTTTGTAAATATGTTTTCGTATTAAGTAAAAATTCTTCTATATAATCATCATGAACTCGTGAAATATTAAGTTCAGTAAGATAAAAAAATTTAACAATTGATAAATTATGATTATCATTCATTGGTTTATAAGATTGTTTTTGATTTTGTGCATGACGATTAGTCACAGATAATTTCTCCATAAATGGAAATGATTGAGAGATTCGAATAAAAAATTCATGTTCAAAAGATTGTTCATCATATAATGATACTACACGAACATATTGATATAATCCACCTGGAAAATAATTTGTTATATCTTCGTAATATTGCATTAAAAATGGATATGAATAAACATGACATTGACCCTCTCGTCGCTCTAGAAAATAATTGACACATAATATTATTTTAGTATATTGAAAATCTTTGAATGTTTCTTGAATCTCTTCTTTCGATGGTAAATTCATTCCATCTTTAAGGTACATAACCGAACAAATATCAAATATAAATTGATTTAATTGTGGCATATGATTAAGAATATTTTTCTTCAAATGATTTCCATCAATAAATGTTTCATCAACATAGGCCATAAGATACAAACCAAGTTTTTCTAAATTTGGCATTCGATAAAGAAGTGGTGGAATTAATTCATCATAACACGATGTTTGCAAAGCACAAGACAAAACAAAACACTTTAGATTTGGTATTTTTCTCTAGAGAAAAAAAAAGAAAAAAAAAATTAAACTTATTTTCTTGTAAAACTAACTTGATTTTCAATTTCTTCTGGAGGATGAATGTTAACCAAATCAATAACGAGTGTATGAAGTTGATTGAAGCGACCATCGAGAATATAAAGACACATATCAAAACATTGAACCTTGATATTCAATACCAAAAGAGATGAAGAAGAAAAACTAGGAGATGGAAAATCAAATAATAATTGAACAGTATTTTTATATGAGGCATTATAAAATATTAAATGAGTTAAATTAGTAAAAACAGTAAAGATATTATTGCATATGTTTTCCATTGTTGATAGATCATTTTCATTTGGATCAATTCCAATAATAAGTGTTGTAATTTGATTTTTAAAAATACCAGATGAAAGATTTTCATCTAAGCACATAGATACGATTATTAAGCAATAAAAAAAGAATATTATTATCCGCTTTACATATATTCATTATAATCAACGATCAACACAAATAGTCGAAAGACTAAGATAATCTTTGACACAAAGGAATTTTTCTTTTAGAAATAATCTCTCTCATTTGCATTAATAGTCTCCTTTAAATATAGTTCATAATAAATTTATTAAAAATAATGATCATTCGACCTGTCCACGTGTAACGGTCCACTTATCTCGGCAAAGTTAGAAAAATGCAAACTCATGCTTTCAGTATATAATTTTTACGTTGTCACAAGGATGTGAGACATTTTCTTAATTGTTCTTTCAGAGATGTTATCAATCTGTTCATTCAGGGAAAACTACAGTTAACTTTCTGAAGAAATAAACGTCGATGAAAACAGGCGTATTCTAAAAAGCGTTATTCCGTCACGAGGTGTTTTTATTTTTCAAAAGCTGTTTGTTTATATTTTTCAAATTTTCTTTTTTTTTCTTATGTAGCGTGTCATCTAAGCTATAACTTCCCTAGAGAAAGCTTTTAGTTAGCAGTTTTATTTGCACTGAATTGTTCAGTTCTGTAGATAACACTCATACTCAACGCCATGTTTGGTTATTCCGTTACGGGCCTATATTTCAATCATAAAATTGTGAAGGAAGCTTCGATTCTAATGAAACTTTGAGGGTGTGTAGAGCAACTCGACTTATACATATAGTCTGAAAATTTCAGCTTTATCTGACTTCGTTCCGCTGAGGTATTGAAAATACAAAGTGCAAAATCGTTATTCCATCACGAATGGACAGATCGCATTATTTTTTAAATATTGCTTTCTACTCATCAAAAATATTTTCTATTTTCTTTTTTTACATCAAGTTGTGTAAATGATTCTTTTTTTTGTTTTTGCAACTTCATAGTCAAATATGGATTTGAAAATAAAGTTATTTAATGTCGTCAATGATCTATTGAACTGTATTAAAAATTTCAAAGTATTCATGTTAATTTTAATATATCTTTTATTTGTTTAAAATAAAAGACATTGTATTGTGATTTTCTTACCGGTAAAAAGACATAGAGCTGTCTCTTCTTCGATATTGTATAGACCGAGTCCATATAAATCAGGATAATTGGCAGCACGTAGAATACGTTTCATAGTTGACGATTCAAGATCAAGCCATTTGATTTTCATAGCAATTTCAGGTAAAATTTGTGAACAAAATCGATCAAGTATGAATTTTGAAGAAAATTTATTGATAAATCTATTCGACGACCATTCAAGAAAGTTCAAACGACTTGTAAATATTGGATCATGTATAATTCTATTCAGTCGTTTATCGACACCTTGCAAAGAATAAAGTACTTCAATATTGCTCAATTTTTTGAAAATAATCAAAAGAATTTCATCGGGTAAATCATTCAATTCAATACATGAATATTTCATATTTGTTTTCGCTTATCTACTCATTTCACTTTAGAAAAGACAATACTTATATACCCATTTGTTCTATTTGACCGATATCGTCAGCAAGAACAATAATAATGCATTTTTCAACAGGCTAAATTGTCAATGGAACGATATTAAATTGGCCGAAAGAAAAAATAGCGAACGAAAGAATAACGAAAAAAACGGCGAAAAAAACGTCGAGAAAAAATGTTGAGAGAGAATACGGCAAACATATGACAATGTTGAAAAAAGAATTTTATTTTCAGATTTTCGATCAATCTGTTGAAGATATTTTATTGTATACAGAAAAATAAGAGATGTGTAATTATACCAACAAGAAATAATAGTGGATGAAAGGTAGCCAAGAAGCAGTGGTGTATTCACAGCGGATGAAGGTGATGCGACTGCACCCCATGTTGAAACTGATTTGATGCTAAATTTTAGATTTCTCTCCGAAACTGCGTGTTTTGATTGCATCTGTCACTCTTTTTTGCTGAACAGCACCCTCTTTCTAAATTTTCTGGATCCATCATTGTCAAGAGCAAAATTAATAACAAGACAACACATTTCTTCGGGTCTACGACAATTGGTCGAACGACAATTAGTCGAACGACAATTGGGCGGCGTCAATTGGTCGAAGCGACAATTGGGCGCCACGACAATTAGTCGCAGGGTAGAATTGGTCGCAGTGCTGAGAAATAAAATTATCGAAAATTTTTACTAGGATCGCAAAGAAATAACACACNATGTGTAAAAATTTGTTTTTGTTCTCTTTGTATCTCAATGGTTTCTGAAAGAAATAAAATTTGTATTTATAAAGTAACAAGAAGAATAAAATATCCAAGTAAAAGACATGTATTCACATACGATCTGTATTTTCGAATAGATAGTGGATTTTATTTACATAATAATAATAACAAAAAGAGTTAATAGACAAGAAGATAACTACAAAAGTATTTTCAATAAATAAAAATGTTAGGAGAGAAAAGTACTAAATAGTATCAATATGCGAAATTATATAGAGTTAATGGAAAAATAAAATATTCAAGTAAAAGACATGTATTCACATACGATCTGTATTTTCAAATAGATAGTGGATTTTATTTACATAATAATAACAGAAAGAGTTAATAGACAATAACCAAGCAGAAGAGAAAAAAAAATATTAATTCTGTTAGTCACCATCAAAATCATATCGATGTCAATTATAAATGAAAAGATTTATCGGAAAGAACTTGTTACATATTTTCATATTTTTCAGTCTAACGAGAGAATATCACTAACTATTCAATCATTATTAGCCGAAATCTACTGAAACCCACCATGTTGATTCCCAATATGAACAGGATTTTTATCTCTAGACGTTCAAAAATCCTGTTTTCTCGAAAATCAATTTTCTATAATGAAAAGTTTTTTTTTTTATTTGACTAGTTTGTTGAATACTTCAAGCTGAGCATAAAAACCAATTTATTTCAAAATTTAAATCACTATAGTGAAGGCTAGAGAAGTAACAAGTTTGTAGTTCTATAACTTCTATAAGTTTTCCATACTACTAGATATTACTCTGTCGAATACACATTGCTATTACAGTACACTATGGTTTTGTCATTATATGTAGACATCAATAACATACTCAGTAGATGGTCGAAAAACTTCAAATTCTGATCTTTTGAGGATCGATGACAAGAAACACTTGAGGGTGTTTAATGAGGACGAGGATTCTGTTCCACACATACCTCGCATTTACATCCACACGCACAAAATCCAAAATTGTAGAATTCTTTTGAAGCAAGATTATTTTTATATTGATTAAATTCATAAGTGAGTCGTTGTATAGATTCATATTAATGCTGCATTTATGATTATCAGAGCTCAAACGCCACATATAAGAGAAACGCATATCAATGTTTATTTTCAAGCAGTCCTTGATAGTTTTTCTAATCTGTATATCGATTCATAACATTGTCATCATATTAACTAGATATAGAGGTAGATTTTAAGTAATACATTATTTAGTACTAAAACGACAGTAGTGTATCAGTATATTTAAAACGAAAAATACGATTGAATTGAAAGATATAAGTCATCAATCAGACATTGTTCGAAAATAACCTACATATCTAATTGATCATAGCTTTTGTAATCTTTTCATAGATATTAATTTGAATACTTCATGGTATTCTTTCGTCCGAGATGACAACAACAAAAGATTATTGAACCAAATATCATATTTATCAAAGTGAAAAAAAAATGATAAATAATCTATCCACAATATAATGCATCTATTCCATCATCTATTGGTATAATATTCTTGATTGAATTAATAGAGATGTCTCAGTCTTCTTTTTTTTTTTTTGAATAATTGTCTATAATCGATTCAAGAAACGGTATAAATTCTCGTTTATTCTGTTGACAGTGATGGAAATAGATCATCAAAACGAAATGAAAGCAAATTTTACTGTTACATTATGTAGTTCATTACTCTAAGGTATCAATTTAAATGTTTATAAAAAAATACCCAGTATGATCATATTCATTATAGGTATTTATTATTTTTCTCTTCCTACTTATATTCTATCTCTTATCATCATTATTTTATACAGAATATCTTATCTTGATTACAAATTTTAGCCTTCTCTTTGTTATTTATTATTTACCAGTGATATTAATGTTCATTCTTCAAATAGCAGAAAGATATCTTTCGAATTATTATTAATACCATCGAAATATATACTATCATGGCTTTTGAAAAATTCAATGACAAACATTTTCATATAAAACATACTCCTTTTTGTTGTTCTTTTTGAACACATTTACAATATGCAAAAAAAAAAAAAAAACTGAGATGAAATAATGTATTTATGAAGAAAAATAGCATAATAATAAGGATGAATGCTTTACAAAGAAGAATGTCAAATAAATATATTTGTGCATCTGTGGAAATAAAATAGTTTAACGTACGATGAAATTTCAAAAATAGAATGTGAAATTTACAACAATAAGAAGACGAAGAAGAAGAAGAGAAAAAAAACGACATGAAATTTAATTATCATTTTGTCTTTTTTTTTTTTTGGTTCGATGAATATAAAGAAAGAAGAGAAGAGGACCGGTCAGTGATCAATTTATATTTATTCTCACTGTATTAAATGGACGGACAAGGCACCGATATCACATAAACGAATATATAATTAAAAAAAAAACTTTTTATCGATTATTAACCGGTGTAACATTTCCACAAGCTGAATCATTACGAGATGGTGGTGTTGGTGTTGGAGTATTATTATTATTATTATTTTGATTAGTAAATCTTGCATACATCATTTGAGCAATACGATTGACTTCAATTATATCTGGACGTTTTTCAGGATCTAATACAAGACATTTTGAGATCAGAAGACGTAACTAAAAAATTAAATATAAAAAATTAAATATTTTTCAATTAAAAACATACTTCAGATGAATAGAAATTAGTTGGTAATGGTGTATAATCAAGTGCTTCAATTTTTTGACGTAATAATATGAGATTTAAATTTTCTCCATAAAATGGAGAACGAAGTGCTGCCATCTAAAAGAATATTTATTTGAAATTTTTTTTATTTTTAATTTGAAGAAATTTTACTTCATATAATATACAACCAAGAGACCAAATATCAGATCGAAAATCATAACCAAGATCATGTTCATGAATTCGTTCAGGTGACATATAATATCTATATTTAGTTTTATTTTTATGTTAAAAAGAAAATAATAATAATAACTTACGGTGTACCGACCATTGAATGTGCTGATGTTGTTTTTGAACCAAAAAAACGACCTAATTTTTTATTTTTACATCATCAAAATGACATTAATTTATAAAATAAATAAACTAACCTAATCCAAGATCACCAAGTCGAACAATTCCTTCGGCGCTTACAAAAACATTTGCCGGTTTAATATCTATTATTTAATATAGATAATTACTTAAATCTTGTCAAAACTAATGTCAGACGTATTTCAATTTGCTTATATAAAAAGTATAAAGAAACTTTTTCTCTATATGAATTAATAATAAAAATGATACTCTATTTTTCTATGCCATTATATCATTCTTCAACTAGTATCATAATAAGAAAATTTCATTAAAAGTTATTTATAATTATATGTGATGATATCATTAGATCATATTTATATTCAAGATGTATTATTTTTTTGATCCCTTCTTTATTTCACTCTTCTCTCTATGATACCTACCCATTTCTAATGATAGATAATATTATTCATAAAGATGTATTCAATAAATCTTGAATCTAAATGTATAACAATAACGTTATATCCACCTAATTCTTCGGATCTGGCACCAAGTCATTATCAGTTATTCGACTTAATCAAATAAAATCTAACCGATCAAAACAAATTCAGAGTTGTTGCATCGCGCTGTAACCAACTTCATGAACTCCTTAAATAAAACAAGAGTATAGAATAAGGTTCGATGTGATGAATTCAAATAGTATAATACTATTCTGGATAATCACAACTATTATTTCAAACATTTAATGAAATAAAGACTTGATAAACTTGTTTCTGTAATATCGTTTTATTCTATAGATATTGAACCCTATCGACTCCAAAACTTTCAGATATGGTCGAACCGTACTTTGATATATTTTCTCAATGAAACTTTCTAATCGACATTAAATAGTTGCCCTGAACACATGACATATTTTCTTTTTGGCTTTTTATATTTAATAATTAGCACATTCTACAGATTTCTCATATCACTAAGTTTTGTGTACTCTAATATATATAGATGATTAGGCATTAAAGGAGAAAAGAAAGAAAAGAGAGACAAAGACTAAGAATAACATGATCTTATGTTATCGTCACATATGATTATAAATAACTTTTAATGAAATTTTCTTATTATGATATTAGTTGAAGACTGATGTAAAAGCACAGAAAAAAAACGAGCACCATTTTTTTATATAATTTCATATAGAAAGAAAATTTCTTTTAGCTTTTTATAAAGAAAGTAAAATACCACTGGCACTACCTGTGGTATGAACTAATTAATAAATAAAAGAAAATTTTGTTTATACCTCTATGCATAATTCTTTTTGAATGCATATGTTCTAAACCGCTACAAATTTGACTAAAAAATTTCCATATTGTTTTTTCGGGCATTAATTTATTTGATCGATGAAAATGTTTTATCATTTTAGCTAAATCACCTGCACTAGCTAATTCCTATATTAAAACAAAGAAACAAAAAATTTTTTTTTGTTTATTAATAAATAATTAAATACCAAAACAATGTACAAATCATTTTCTTCAACAAAATGTGATATATATTTAATTACATTTGGATGATTTAATTGCTACAAAAATAAAACAAGAAAAATTTCAAATAAATTTAATTAAAACGAGAAAAAACAAATTTATTAAAATACTTGAAGTAAAATTATTTCACGTTTACAATCTTCAATTGCTTTAGTATCAGCCATTCGACTTAACTAAAATAAATATTTTTTATTTAATATTAATTTTATTTAATGGAAAAATAATAGATTTCATTTTTATCAAAAATTTTTTTTTTTGTTTTTTATTAATTCAAATTAATTGATTCAATAATATGAATAAAATTTCATGTAAAACTTTGATATTAATCAAATTTTTGTAGAAATGAAATCGATTAAATGATATCTTTCAATTTTTATGTTTAGATCTTTTAAAATATGTTGTATTTCCATTGAGATTTATTCAAATAATTTTCTTACTTCAACTTTTTTTAAGGCAACATAAACACTAGTAAAACGATTTCGAGCAGAATAAACAACAGAAAAATGCCCATTACCAAGTGTTTTAAGAATATCAAAATGTTTTAATGCTCCATATGGATCTGATCCTGTTTGTGGAGGCACTGGACCAAGAACATTATTTTGAATACTCATATCTATAAAACAAAAAAAGAAAGAAAGAAAGAAACTTCGATTTTCTTCATCATTTCATTTATTTATAGATCGAAAATGCAATAAACATAAAAGAAAAAAAAATGTAAAGATAATGACAAAAAATAAGAATATATATTTATATATATATATATATATCTGTATATATTAAAATGTTTGTTTTTTATAAGACAAAATATCTATGTTCTTTTTATTTTACTCTATTTCACTGGTAGAATTGAGAATAAATCGAACTAAAATAGCAAATACAGCTAGAAATATAATAATCATTATATTATTAATAAGACTATTTAACCAAGATGTTGATATTGACTTATTATTATTATTTGTTGTTGTTGATGATGATGATGAAATAAATGATTGTTGTTCTTGATTGAAATTATTCATTTGAGATTTATTTAATCTTATTTTTGCTGTTCTTTCAATTAATATTCGTTTTATTTCTTCCGTTAAATTAGGAAATAATTCACAAAAAATAGGATCTTGAATATTATATGATAATGAATCATAAGCATATTTACATTTTTGTGCATAATTTGTTTGAATACTTCCATGTGTAGGACTTGTATCACACATAAAACTTAAAAAACCATTTAATATTGATGAAATTGACCTGAAATAAAATTTAAAAAAAAAAACAATATTTACAGTAGCGGATAAAAGTTTCCTATTTCGCGTCATGTATTACGACCACAATATATTCTGGAGGTCTGAAAATTTGTGTGCACATACTACACTAAGAATTTTAGTCTGAAAAAGATTGCCTAGGAAATTTTTCTTTATACAGAGATCAGGTAATTTGACTGAAGATTGTTGTCCTTGCATACATCTGAATCCTCTATATTCGGATGATATTTTCATTTAGTGAAAGGTTCTTTCATGAAGCTTCAACTACAGACAATCCTTATGTACAACTTGTAGTTCAATTCACTGAACTACTATTGAATTATGATCTCCAAAGGCTACTAGATAATGTTTTCTCAACCAAATAGTCATTGAAAAATGGGTAAAACTCTACGAAGGATTGATAAACTTGGATGAAATGAATATGATAAATAACCAGAATAAATCATTGAATAATGAAGAATAGGTTGACCTACAAACTTCTTTTTTTTGAGTATTATTAAGGTAAAAGAATAAATAGATCCGATCATTCTTATCTTTTATTTTATTTAAACAATTGAGATAAGCTCATGTCTCAAACGTATATTCTCAGCGAAGTATGTGCAGACAAAATCTTTTGACCTAGAGGATATATGCTAGTCTAGATACTGGGAATGAGAAGACTTTAGTTCACTATTATATTTATGAAAAAAAAATAGTTTTAATTTCTACCAAGATGGATTCCATGAATCTGGATGATATGATGTTATTGTTAAACATAAACTTTTATTTGTTTGAAATCTTCCATTTGGTGTTAGCATATATATACCTGTATTAAATAAATAACTAATTAAATTAACAAATATAAATATTACTTGGTGGTTTGAAAGGATATTCAAATGGAAAAATAATTTTTCCTTGATAAATTCCTCCGTGATAAGGTGTATCATTTGGTCCTCGTACAACAAATCGCCATTCTAATAAATTTGATGATAATGGTTGAGCTGTTAAATATGGTATTGGATCTTTCATTAAACGACGATATTCAGATTGAAGACGTTGAAATGCCGAATTTGATTTCATCGACATTTTAAAGATTTAGAAATGAAATAAAACGTATGTTAATTAATTGAAAATCTATGATAAATAAAGAGAAAATATTTTAACGAGAATATTTTGCTTTTCCATAATCGTTTTCTTGTCTACTCTTGGAATGAAACTCTAATGCCGAGAAGAATGTGTCACCATTTTTTAAAATGAATCAATTTCACCCTCAAAGACTACCAATCATGATCCATGAGATGTCGCTTTATTTCACATTTCCTTATAATTAGGATTTGCCCAATCCTTGATACTTTGAACAAGACAAGGCAAAGATCTTTTCTTCAGTGCGGTATGTGTTTAAAATCGATATAAGATTTCCAATATGTTTTTGTGTATATACAATACAGATGAATTAATATTGTTGATGAAATGAAGCACTTATATTACTATATATAAAACGCCAAAAGATTTTTCACTATTTCTACCACCGAAAAGTATTCAGAATATGAACTATTAAACTAATGCGTGCTTTTTAGAGGCACAATGAATCGAGATTTCTCAGAATCGATTGTTTAAACTGAAATTTGATCACACTGATCAATTTAAAATTATTTATCAAAGCGAAAATTTATTCAGAGCTGATAAATATCTCACTTTTATGTTGATTATTTTTTTAAAACCAAACGACTATCAAACACAACTTATAACATTTGTTAAGAATTTTCTGTTGTCAAAGGCGATGGCATTCATGATGAATGTTCAAGAACTGAAATACTTTTTTTCAGACATAGAAAAAGGTCATAACATGTTATCAAAACTAATGACCAGTAATATTTACATCACCTATGATTGCATATAAGCGTCTCTTTTTCGCATAGATAAACAATTTTGATTTTACTTTATGATTTGTTCGAAAGAAAGACTCCACTTTATCATATATATATTATCGGTAAAAAAAACTTAACAAACAGCTAACACATGTTTCTTTTTCAACTTTTTAACTGGTAAGAATAATAAAGATTTCCAATTATTGTAGAGTGTTACACCAGCGACATCCTATCTGTCTGACCAAATCTACTTGTAGCTAATCGGTTCATTTAATATCGAGCTATTTTACGATATAATACATTGGGTTCAATAGTCTGTCTTTTAGTCTTATACGACTGGTATGCGATAATCGTCTCAAAACATTCGAACACTCTTTGTTATTCTCAATCAATGACAAGTTTCAAGAGGAAGAAATATTTCCAGTTTCCTCCAACGATTTGAAATCACGCTAACAGCATTGTAATGAAAAAAGATACAATGATGATTCTCCTCTTATGAATTGTTATTACAATAGACTCTTCCTATCAATAATTACGAATTTACTAATAAATTCTTTCTATTTTTTGATCAATAATACAAAATACCTTATCATTTGAAGTATTAAAGATTGTTTTTTAGAAATTCCAAGAAATGAGAATTCTTATCTATACTTGTTTTTCATTTTGTATAGCAATTGATTGAGATACAAAACTTTATTTCAAATAGTGATTTTCTAATAGAAGTCATTGTCATTTCTTACTTTAATTACTTTAGAAGATCAAAAACAAAAAGTTATCATGAGAAAAAAAAAAGAATTTAAGATTCGTCTTGATTATTTTTATTTTTAATGTCATGAATCATATAAAACAAAACAAAAAAGATACTTCTGTCTTCTACAAAATATTCGTTAGGCAACAGTAGGATAGCCAGGTTCAAATGTAATTGTTAATCGTTTAGGATAATCATGTCGAAAATAGAATTCAATATCCAATCGTTCATATTCATTATTCACAAAGATTTTTGTTTGATGAGATATTTGTTCATTCATAATTGTGGTTACATTTAAATAATTTTCAATTGTTTTTGGTAATTCTTTTCCTATATATTGGTACCATCCTTATAATTTATGACGATATTGTTTTGATGGTGTAAAAGACGGATGTTTTTTTTACAATAAATGATCCATAATAATCAGGATTGCATGGTTTAGCGAAACGAAACGAATATATTCTATCATTATTAATCATTTTTCTATCAGTTGTATATAACCAATCGAGTGAATTACTTCTTATACAATGATAAAATTTTGCTCCATCATTTAATAAACAATTATTGATATAATCAGCGAAAGGTACCTTTCTTATATTGCATAATAATTCCTCAAATAATAATATCTGAAATTCGATCAGATGATCATCATTATCATTTTGATATTCACTATATAATATATCATTATATGATTGTTGTCGATAATAATCTTGTTTTCCCATTTCCGAATAAATATCTTTGTCGATAAAAATGAAATGATGAACAAATAAAATAATTTCCAAAAGAATAAAAAAAACCTCTTCGTTGGAAAAATCCAATATAAACAGAACAGAAAAAAATCGTCATATTAAATTTACATTGTTTTTGAAAAAAAGATAAAGGAACGATGCTGCATGTTGAAATCAATTCATGCAAAAACACTTCAAAGAATAAAAAAAATAAAAATTCTCTTTTCTTCTACAAGGTGGTACATTAATAATAATTCATACTTTCAGTAGTGTAAAACTTGTTAATTTGTTATCAATTTAAAACTTATCTTCGAATTTTCAACTATATATTTTGCCTCAAGATTATCTTCCTTACCTTTGTATTCAGATCCATAAATGAAATATATTGATACGTGGATAATCCATATAATCTGACAGATACATAGAAATGGTATCTGAAATCTAATCGATTTACGAGATCGATCAATGTGGTTTTTTCTGTTTGTCGAGACACCCACATATAGTGAGATACTTTGTGTGTGTTTATGTTCTCTAATAGTTGAAAACTCGACAAAAACTTTAAAACGCGTAATAATTTTTCAATTTTTCCATACATAAATATAATTTACTTCAACTAATATCTTATTTTCTTTAATAATTCGAACATTTTATATTTGTCCAAGATTTCTTGTTGAATTGACAATTTCAATAGAAAGTTTTTCTTGTTCAATATTATTTTTTTGCTTAGGTTGTTTTGCGTAATATTTGAAAAAGATTTTCTTTGCATGCTTCAAATACATGAAAAAAAAACTCATCAGGACAGCGTTTAATAATTCTTGTTACATTTGCATTTGCGATTATTTCATTGATGTATATTGGAATCTTTCTATATGTTCTCATCTAATCATGATGATCAGTTCCAAATCCTGCATAATAATCATAAACTGTTGCATAAAATCTATGAAGTAATGCTTCAGAAGTTAATGTTTGAGTAAAAAATTTTTATGAATCAAAATAATTACTAAAAGGAATAGAAATTACATGAAGATTATTCATTTTAATTAACTCTGATGTTTGTTCAAGTATTTTCCTTGAACGATTTTCTTACTCATACAAAGTGACATTGAGATTTGTTAACATAATCGAACTCATATTTTAAAATCTACAAGTTTTACTGTTAATGTTTATTGAGAAAAAATCATATAAAGAATCAATAAATTTCATATGAAAATTAATTAAGAATAAATGCAATAGTAAGAAGATTTTCATATTTATCATCAAGTATCCGTTCAGGAAGAAATTCTTCGGGGTGATCCTCTAAACTTTTGAATTCCAATGTAATTCAGTTAAAACAACTTAAATTGTATCTTCATGATGAATTTCATAACGATCAGGTCAAATAATTCTATCTTATTTTAATTATAAAACAATGTAAATTTGAACAACTCTGTTCGTGTATTCTATGACAAGTCATATTTTACTTTAGCTTGGCAGTAAGAGTATTCATTGGACCTGAATTTGATAAATTTCCTTAACTTCCAATACAATACACAACCTTTAAATCGTTAGAAAAAAAAAGAACTTATTAATCAATGGTTTCTAGTTATAAATAGTATAGACATAAAATAATATCTTTTAGTTTTAGCTTACTAAATATAATTGACTAAATAACTATTGTCGATCAGTACCATGGATACAATTGAGGTAGAAAACTGACAATTTCTAGATTTGTCTACAACCGGTGGGATGCTCACAACGATGAAATTGAATTTGATTACTTGTATAACTAACAGCTGTAATATATGCTCAGCGTTTTTGTTTTATGTTACATTCATAGAGAAAATACAAACTATCTCACGTGAACTTATCGAAAATAATATTCTCAGGAAAAAATGTCTTTGTAGCTGAGAATGCCCATGGAAAATAATCATTTTATTTATCCCATGGAAATCAAAAATAAAAACAATGACATTAAAATAATGAAACGGACAAATAAATTCGTGTATTTCAAATTTATTGATTAAAATAGACATTTTCATTAATTTCATTGCATTATTTTGATTAAAAATGAATTTCACTACATTTTCTCAATTAAAATGTCGCTTTTCATCAATGAGTTTTGAAAAAGATCAATTTCTTGTCCATTTTATTATCAGAAATATCTTTCTTTTTTTTTTCATGTTTTTTGGTATAAAATAATAAAATATTTTTGACTTTTTGTGAATTGATGGGAAGCTCGGCTTCATGATGGATTAAACAACTATATCTTACAATAGATTCCTTTCGACGTAAACGAACAATGCAAATATTATTTAGATGGTCTTAAATTATTTTCTCTCAGATTAATTTATTCTATAATACTAATTGATAGATAATTTTACATTAATTCATGTTAACTATTTTGACCAAAACAGATTGAAAACCACAACTAAGTGTCTAATTTCCTGTAATCACACTAATATTTCGCATAATAAAGTACGACTACAGACATGCAATTCTTTTTTTTTTTGAACCAGTATAATAAACGATCATTCTTCACATATTTAATATCTGACTCGTATGATATTATTTAAGAAAAACATCTTATGTTCTTGTTGAGAACATTAATAAAATGAAATTTTTCAATTAAAATATTCAACATAACAATATGAATAATAGACACTAGAATTAATTCACCGTTTAAATTTTAATTCATTCAAAAATCAAACAAAATAAATGCTTATGATTGTAATAACTATTCTTTTGACGGTCATATTTAACACCAAGTTGATGAATTGAATGTTTATTAAAGAAAAATGTTTGAAACGGAATCGATGATTAAAGAAGTGAGAAAGATTATTATAATACATGTCTTTGTCATCATGTTTTTAATTAACTAATCTATTATTGACTAACTATTACATAAATATCTTACCAAGTAAAATCTTTGTGTATTATGTTCTGTTGTGTTTTTTATTTGATTTTACAATTTTTCTCAACGTATTTTGTTTTATTAAATGAACCTATCAAGATTAAAATGATATTATATATACAAATAATATTTTAATCTACTAATATCCATGTTATTGCAAAATATTTTTCAGTATACTCAATTCCAGGATGTGATGTTCCACTAATTGGTATAAATTGAATTTCATCAATATCTTTCCAATCAAGATTAAATACTTGAGACATATTATATTGAAGAACGATTGTTGTTGAATAAAGATCTTGTTTGACTCGTCGTCCAATTAAATTAACATGTAGATTATCAAGCCAAGCAGCAGTTGCTTCAAAAGATATTAATGAAAATGTATTTTTACCTTGTTGTTTTGAACAGATACTCATAGGATTTTCTTTTCCATTAAAAACAATACACACATGACCATTTGTAAAAGCATTTTTCCATCCACTATATGCATGATTTTCTTTAACCCATTGTTCATGCATATACCATACATTTATCCATTTTAAACCTTCGTATGATTCTGATAATGTTCCAGAATCAACTTTTTTATCGATTTCAAATAGTTTATCAAAAGTTATTAAACGTCTGCTTGGCTTTTGAACTATAAATACAACAAGAAAAAAAAAACAGGAATGTTGCAAGGACAATCTTGAAGAATAACTACACAGTATCAAAACATAACTGTAATAAAAAGACAAATGATTATTGTACTATACGGTAATGGGTATGGAAAAAAAAATAGGCATCTTTCATCTCACAAATTGTAAGAGATGCTTGAAGAGTGTAGTAGAGGGAGAAGATAACTTTCAGTTCCTTCTGATTTCAATGATTTTTTTTTCTTTTTCATATAACATAGTGTTCTAATAAAAACTCTAAAAGGATTTGAATTCCTATTGAGGTTCGACTATACTATCGAATTTTTAATGTATCTATTTTCTAGGGACACCAGAGTTCCGAAAATCTCGCATTTTTTAATTTCGATCTCAAACTTTACGTATATAGGCAGCTAGTCTAACTAAATTCTCTATATGCGTTAAATTTTAGAACAAAATTTGAAAATATGAGTTTTCTCAAAAATTCGATTTCTTAGTTAAATCTCAATAGAAACCAAAACTCTTTTAGGATTTTAATAGTATCTATAGATAAAGAATCATTAAAGTCGGAAGAGGATCAATGAAGAACTTTCCTCATTAGTCTTCTTCGTACGATTCTATTAAACATTGACCTGCTGTTTGTAAAGTTTGTACTTGATTCGTAAGAACTTGAATTTGTTGTTCAAGTTGTCGATTTGTGTTAATAAAAGAATCTATGACTGGTCTTAATTGTTCATAACTACAATTAATAAGATGATTTTGAAGTTGATCACGTTGACCAGACCATGGACATTTAATATCAGATGCTGAACAAACGATACTTCCTTTTGGACATATTTTACTAATATGATCATTAAAATTTCCACGTTGAATTCCAGTTTGTTCACATTGAAGACATTTAACAAGTAATCGATCAAGAATATTTAATACTAAACGAGTTTTAACTGGTTTTAAATTATTAATTGATAAAGGATGACGACATACAGGACATGATGAATAACCTTCATCTAACCAATGTTGAATACATATTTGACAATAACTATGATCACAAGATGTTGTTACAGGTTGTTGAAATGGTTCATTACATATTAAACATTTATAATTTTCATCAATCGATGACTCATCAACATATTCATATTGAATATTCGACATCTGTCAAAAACAAATCATATGAAGCACATTTTTATTTTTTTTTTTATTTTATAGTTTATAACAAATATTTATTTCGTTTAACTTACAAACCATATTTTTCATAGGAAAAAAATGCAAAAATAAATATTATAAAAATACGAAAGAAAATTTATTATTTTAACCATTTATGAGTAAATATATATATTCGATTCTTTTGTTTTACTTTTAACTGATGTTTATATTGTTTTATCGTTTAGACAGGAAATATGAAAGTAATACTTATTCATTCGAAACAATTTTTATTTTGTTGCTTCACAACTAATAGGAAAAAAAGTAAAAGAAAAAAAAATATTAAAATATTATTAACGAAAAATAAAAGGTCTTAGTATAAATGGAAAAAAGAAATTGGCACTACTAGAAATTTAATTTCACTTATTAGACATTATTTTCAAAAATAATATTCTCACCTTTTCAATTCCTCCTGATTCTACAACGTGTTGCACTCTATTCGGTGAATTTTTTTGTTCTTTTTTATCTTGTTCGAATAACACGTGACACGAAAGAACTTTATTTGTTTTTTTTTTCATAGTTACTCAAATATTTACGCATAACATAAATATACAATAAATGATACATTCATCTTCATACTACAAATATATATAACTATGGAAACGATTTTTATCTTTTATCTTAAATTATAATGGTAAATACTTAATCAATTTTATTAGCAACTATACTAAAACAAGAAATTCAATATAAATTAACGAATGTAAAGCTACTGATGACAAAAATTTTCTAATAATATTATTAATATTTGTGCTTTTCAACCTGAGAAGACAAGTTGACGGTCGATTCGCTAACAGTTAATTTAATATAAATTATTATCGAGATTTTTTCATTTGTAAAAATATTTATTCTCTAAATCACAACCGATCAATATACATGAAATTGATTTTTTTCAAGGATGACTCATCTTCCATAGAAAATAATCGAATTAAAAATTATGTTGATTTCTATTAATGAGAAAAATCCTCCAACTGTCAATACTATGAGCATTATATAGATCCAAATGAACTATGAATACTTTGAAAAGAGTTTGTGCCCTTAACTTATTACTACGAAGATACGGCACTTTTACAGTAGTTTTATATAAACACTATGATAAAAGAAAAACTGACTTCCGAATTTCAACTTGAAACTTTATATTAGAGACAGGTTTCGATGAGAATATTTCATTGTGAAAGTTTCAAGTCTTGTCATTTGCTGCTATCCTGAAATAAGAACTATCGGGGTGTTATTATGAAAAATTTAATAATCGAAACTCTTCATACTGATATCAGTTTGAAAATGTACGATAAATATTTTTTAAAGAGCAATTAAATAGATTTCACTAGATTTAATACGAGATTGATCTGAGAAAAAGTTGAAATGCCCTGATTTTTTTTTTACAATTATTTTTTTAATTTTTCTTTTTTTCTATTAAGTAAACCTGCTTTAGAAAAAAATTTCACATCCTTGTATTGAACAGTTTTCTCTATGAAAATGAAGACCTTTTCATATATTTTACCACATCAGAGAAAATTTGTTTTTTTAATGTAGTCATAACAAAACCAAAACAAAAAACGAAACATTTTCTCTACGTACAGGCATTTGTTCGCTGCTATTTTCATCGAAAGTTTTTTTAAAATATAATACTCTGAATTCTTTTTTTGAAAATAAAATTCTTCATTTTTATTAGTATGAAAACGATTGATTTTTGTTTACAGATAAAACAACTTCGAACATTATTCAAAACAAAACTCTACAACATAATCCTGAAATGAGTTCTCGAAATATATAATAACATTAATTATTTATATTATTATAAATTTTGTTTGGAACCATCGAATAGCATTATCGAATTCTACCAATAACTTGTTTAAATAGATCAATAATTAATCCAAGTAATAAATAATAAAAAAAAAAAAATTTCAAATAATAATTTTAATTTCAACGTGCTTTCACACACAACATAACGTTTTATTTCAGAAACATTATTTGCAATTGAACAAATTACAATTGTATTTTAAATTCTTCATTTCAAATTAAAATTAATCAAACAATAATATTAACATTAATTGTATGTGAAATCAATTCCAGTTCCAGATATCGAGACCGGAACCAAGATTCGAACTGTTCAAAAAGAAGCTACTGGACTTTAAAAAAAAAAAAGAAGAAAACTTGGTCCCACATACAGTAGAGTGCAAAAATAATTGCCGTTAGTATTTGATAAAGTTACTCTACTGAACATGATGAATATTGAAAGTTCTTTTATAAATAGATTATACATACACAAAAGTACACAAATACAATAATCAATAGTTAGCTCTTTTTCCCTTCAGCCAAAAAATCAGTAAACACTATAGCTTCATCGATACACTCAAATAAATTAGGATCGTTTTTCCTATGTACATGGATTGTGTTCTAGCCTAAAAGGTGTGTTTGGAGAAAAGTGAAAGAAGCTATGAACCTCGTTTTGGATCAAGATCATGTAGCCGAAGATTCAGCTCGATACGATGTCTTCTTGATTTTTAAAGTGGGAAAGAAATGCAACACCACCTTCTCAACTTTTGACCTCTATTTGACTGTGAAGATGAATTTTGAGAATTGTTCACTTGGAACAAAATTTCATCTACTAGTCGAGGTCTGTCTACTATGAAAATTTCAAGTCGGTCAGACAAGTCATTGTCGAGATAGTTTGAAAATCTGGTGGGAGCGCCATTTGTTCTGGTAGTTCTACATACCATGATCCTCCGTTTGTTTTTACGATGCCCTGTCGTTGGAGCTCATTTGCATTTCATTAGATACTATGGACATAGTCCTTCTTTAAGAAGACGATTTTCGCAGCGCTACGACTGCACTAGTCGTGGTAGTGTAATATTACTGTTTGATATTCTAGAAAAGCGGTGGACACTCGAATCATGATGTCTCTCGCTCTACCGAACGACATTTTTTGAGGAGTCGCGCTCTGATTAAAATCTATAGTACATCCTTGATTACTGATAAACGTTTCAGAAGAATCCGTTCATGCGCTTCACAGATATGACTCGAGCAAATGCGTAAGTGCAACGGCAATTTTTTTTTGCACTCCACTGTATGTCTTATCATGATTGAATCGACATAATTACATAAAACATTCAAATGGAAGCAATTAAAATCATCTCTATTTTACAATGAATAAGAAGACTTTTGGTTTTCACAATAAAATATGTATTGTACTTAGTATAACGAGAAAATTAGTTTGTGATCAATTACATTCTGGTAACGAAAGTCAAAGTTTACTATTCAATAGAATTGCAAAATGTTTTCGTGACAATTCTGGAAAGATTGAAGAAGACTTGTGTCTTTTATCATCTGCAGTTGAGAACTTATCTGAAAAAATATCGGGCAAGTTCATTGATAAATTGGTAATGATTTTCATCGTACGATTGACAAAATGGAAGTGACGATTGATATATTTAGTAACATCATTGAATAAATTAGTTTTGAGCATATGAGAGTAAGAAAAAAAAGCTGTGACTGATCAAGTACACAAAAACCTGTCTGATGTTTGACATACTCAGTAACTAAAGATAGGTAAAGAAGATTTAAGAAAATTTGAATAAAGACAATAATAATTTTGTAAATCTTGTTATATTTTGTTTAATCTAAGTATAACAAAGACAAGAGAACATTATTGAATGAATCAGTTTTGTAGGATACATTTTTTTGAACCAAACGAAACGAAACGAAACGAATAGTTTATTGAGTAAAAACAGAAAATTTATACAAGAAGAAAAAGAAAAATCCAGAATGATCTTCTTCTTTTTGTTAGAAAATGTATATGAAAAAGACGTCATTATATTAACTTAATGGAGAAAAGAAGATCAGTCGATATGTTGGTCCAAGACAATATATTGAAGAAGAACAGATAGAAAAGAAAAAATAAAGAAATAGAATGGACACTGTTAAGAAGTAATATATGTATAATAATGGAGGAATAATCCCTATTCATTTATTATGTAACAGCATCTTTTTAATTTCGCATTATCGATTGTAAATCAAGAAAAAATAAATATCAGATTATAGCTATAATAGAAAATTCTCGTATGATATTAAAATAAATACGTACATATATCGATCACTGATCAAGGAACTAATCCATCTGTAACTCGTCATTTGAACTCATATTGGACCCCCAAGAAGGTCTCAGTAAGACTAGAAATACTGCAAAATGGCTCGTACCCATAATCCTCTAGAGTCGAGTCTCGACTGTTCCACTAAATTTTCAACTCATGTTTAGATATTCACTGAAAAATCAAATGTCCGAATTTTGATCTGAAATTTAGTTCATACATAGATCTAATGACACTTAGAATATCTTGAAGATTTCACTCGTAAAGATTGTTTATTTATCGACATATTAAATTGTCAACAGTTCCTTATTGAGATCTTCTTATGGATCCAATATGAGCTTAAATGGCGAGTTACAGTTTGAATAGTTCCCTTGTAAATATCTATTTTATGATAATATTTAAGAGCCATACAATAAGTTGTATTAATTAGTAATAGTACAAATGCTGTTAGCATAATCTCTGCGGGATTAAAATGTGTAACAAAATGTACCCATTGTTGCTAATCTTCTAAAACCTTGTCCATTTGTATGTATATTAGGGCATATTTCGTCATCATTCTTTACCTTAGAGCATAAAACTTCAACAAGGAAATAATATATATATATAGATTTCAATTAGATGTTAGTTATACCCATAACCTCTAATAGTTCCTTGAAGTCGCGTGCCACCGTCTGCGAGAGGGTAGTGCAAATTTCTACCCTATATACTTCAATTAGATTGTGTTTCACAAAAAAAACAAGGATTGAATGTAAAAGAAAATTCTTTGAAATAAAAGAAAACAGAGTCGAAAATTTAGATATTAATTAATTGCTTTGGATGAAAAGCAACTTAAATCGAATATTGTTTCATTAATTGAAACCAACTTGACAATAAAAAAAAACTGAATTTTTTATTTTAATTGAATTCGATAAAGATAAATGGATTAAAGAGTATAAATATTAAAAAATATAAAATAAAAGCTTTTTGTTTAATAAATAAAAATTATAAAAATGATTTTTATTATGTTAGAAAATATTATTTAGATTATATTTTCTTGATTATTTTTTTTTATAATGTATATCATCTTTTATTTAATGCATATATCTACATAATAAAGATATGATTGTATTAAAAACAAATTTTAGTTAGCGAATAAAATACAATGTCAAACATATACGCATGATCCTGCTTTATAATTGTATTGCTCTGTTTTTGTGTGACTGACCTTCTTATTTGTTTACGTCCAATGTTATTATCATTTAAATATTCGTTACTGGAGACGTCTGTGACATTTAAGGACTATTTAATGAATAATATTTATTATCGTGAGTTTCATCCTATCGATTGATTGGTGATCACTCCACTGTAAACGATTTATTTTGTTATTCTATGTTAATTTTTCTTCTGATTATGATATGACGAAATACAGATAAAAGAAAAAATACATTTGGTTGTGTTTACTAACAATACTTTACCTGTAAACATATCATAAATCATTTTAAGTGTATAATACTTCTATACCCGTGACTCTTAGTCCCATACACAACACGTCATTCAATGAAAACAAAATTTAAATAAATAAATACGTCGTACTATCGATATATTATCATATTCGAAAATGTCTCATACAGGTAGTTAATAGTAATATGTATTTTTACTTAATATTGCTTATATATAATGCTCTTTTAAAAGAAAAAAAGAAAATCTTGTACTAATTTTATTTTCAAGTAGCTATTGTTTATAATATTGAAATATAGAAAAAACAAAAATCTAAAGTTTGCATGTTTTACGATCTTCTCATTAGAATGACTCGTAGACATACATAACGTCTATCTTGAAAAAGTTTAGCCGAAAGTCGTTAATCGATCGATCGTTTGCCGACTCTCTATAAACATGTTTATTTCTTTCAATCATTCTTCGCTAAATTTCTTTTTTCTTAAAGTGCACTAGCATACGCATACGCACACACATACTATAAAATGCCCTTAGTTTCCGTTCACCTTCGGAAATCTAAAATATAATTGCTTTTCTAGAAACGAGCACGAGAATAACAACAACAACAACAACAAGAGCAACATTAGTAAAAAGAACAGGCGTCAGTAAAGTGCTATCAAAAAAAGATTCAATCAGAAAATCATCGAAGAAACGTCGTGCGTCAACTACAATAATTCTTCTTAGTAACGTTAACAAGACGAAGAAAAATTTCAACGACAATATTCAAAAAACCATTATTACAACTGAATATAACCATCAGCATCAAAACGACGATCGAACAAAGTACGTGACAGACGTATGTTTTCAGTTAAAAAGACATAATGCATGTGTAAAAGATTGTTAAAAAGAACAGGAAAGGTGCGCTAGAAGACGGATGAAACATATGTGTGTATTACACAAAACTATATAAAAAAAAAGAAAGCCGAATCAAAAAAAGAAAGGGATTGTTTGCAATATTTTTTCCAATAGATTTTTTTCTACTATATAGTGTATGTAATTCTCTGTGCGTTTTTTTAAAGTGACAACCATTAACACTTTCGGAGAGTACAAGTAAGTTTACCCTGCTTTTTTCACACACACATATATATATATATATATATATATATAAATACACCAACAACCTTTATTTTCACTTTTTTTCTGCACTATTCTGAAACACATGTCATATGTGATAAACATTGACCTGACTTCAATATCCCTGTTTCATGATTTTGTGTAAAATTCGACCCTTGATCTTACTCATAATGAGATTCTTCTATCCAGGTTATATTTACTTACATTGCACAATATTCTCTCTCTTATTTTTTTTTTCTTTCGGGGAAAGACAGATAGACAGTCATAAATATTTACTTTCCTTCGAAGATCAATTTACCTGTATTTTTTTTTAATAATTTTCCATTTCTTATAAATGAGTCAATGAAGCTTGATGTAATGCAAATAAATCAAATAATTTCGAATAGAAAAAAAAAATATTTACATAATGACCTCAATCTAACGGGTTAATCAAATGCAAAAAAAAAAAGAAAAAAAAACCAGACGGAAGAGAATACTTAGATGAAGTATATAAAGCCGAATATTCATCCTTCTCATAATACAACAATATCGAAGGTCATAATCTACGTTCACTTTCAAGCATTGTTATTATTGTCTACTATTACATTGCACCCGTAACAATTACGTTCGTTGTTTTTTCTATTGTAAAGAAAAGTGAGAGATAGACAAGGTATTTACAATGTTAGATATAGAGAATATGCAAATTATCGATCGTATTCCGCAAATAAAAGATATTTATACAGATTTTTTACCAAATATGAGTAGGACAGATGTTTTAATGCAAAGGTATGAATAAATTTTCTTTACTTCATTGAACTAGGTCTATTGAAATAAATTTGTCTAGACTTGTAGATAGTCAATCACAACCATCACCACCAGCACTATTATCACCATCTGTTGATATCGAATCTAATTATTTAATAAATACTTCCCTACCACCATCATCATCTTCTCAATCATTATCTTCATATATTGAACCAGATTCAAACTCACCATTTAGAAATTCAGCATCACCACGTGAATCTTTGACATCAATAGCAAGTGAAAAAGTTTTATTAATGTCATCAGAACAACAATCAAGTGTGGTTCAACCACTTTTAACTGATCTTTATCAAATATCAATGGCTTATGCTTATTGGAAGCCAAATAAACATCACGAATTGGCAACATTTGATTTATATTTCAGAAAAAATCGTATGTCAACAAAAATCAAATTTATATTTTTATTGCATAGCTTCTTTTTTTTTCATATTATTTTAGCATTCGGTGGGGAATATACATTATTTGCTGGTCTTGATGAATGTCTTAAATTTGTTCGTAATTATAAATTTCATCCAAGTGATATTGAATATCTTCGTGCATCATTACCATCTTATATTGAATCGGAATTTTATGATTATTTATCAGCACTTGACATGAATGATATTAAAATATATGCTGTACCTGAAGGTAAAAAGAAAAAACACATATAGAATATTTTTATTTAAAAAGCAAATTGTATTTTTTTTTTTTTTTGTGATTTTTAAGGTACGGTTGTTTTTCCTCGTTTACCATTAATGCGAATTGAAGGTCCAATTATCAAAACTCAACTACTTGAAACAACATTATTAACACTTGTTAATTATGCAAGTTTAGTTGCAACAAATGCTGCTCGATTTCGTTCAGCAATAGGAGCTGATAAAACTTTACTTGAATTTGGTTTACGTCGTGCTCAAGGTCCTGATGGAGGTTTAAGTGCATCAAAATATTGTTATTTAGGTGGATTTGATGGTACATCAAATGTATTAGCTGGTAAACTTTATGGAATTCCAATAAAAGGTACACATGCTCATGCATATGTTAATTCATATGAATGTATGGATGATTTATCTCAAAGAGATTTATGTGATCGTATAACTGGTGAACGTCGTCCATTTAGTGATTTATGTTTACATTATTTAAATGAAATTGGTCCAGCACTTAAAATTCTTCCTGAAGAAACAAATAAAGGAGAATTAGCTGCATTTATTTCATATGCAATTGCATTTCCAACAAATTTTTTAGCATTAGTTGATACATATGATGTACTTAAATCTGGTGTACCAAATTTTTTAGCTGTTGCACGTGCTTTACATGAATGTAATTATCAAGCTGTTGGCTTACGTTTAGATTCCGGTGATTTAGCTTATTTATCATTAGAAGTTCGTGCAAAATTTCATGAAGTATCAAAAAAATTAAATTTACCATATATGGAACATTTTACAATTGTTGCAAGTAATGATATTAATGAAGATACATTAGTTTCATTAGAAAAACAAGGACATTCAATTGATTCATTTGGTATTGGTACACATTTAGTTACATGTCAAAAACAACCAGCACTTGGTTGTGTTTATAAATTAGTTGAGGTAAAATTTTATATTTAAATTATTTTTAATTTTAATTTTAAAAAGAAAATTTTTGTTTTTTTCTTTATTTTAGCTTGCTGGCTCACCACGCATTAAAGTTAGTCAAGATATTGAAAAAGTAACAATACCCGGTAGAAAAAATCTCTATCGTTTATATGGTCATGATGGTAAAGCATTATGTGATGTATTAACGAGAATCGATGAATCTGCACCAGAAGCAGCAATTCGAATGCTTAGTCGACATCCATTTTCAGAACAAAAACGTGCATATGTAACACCAACATCAGTTAAAAGTTTATATAATTTATATTGGGCTGATGGAGAAATAAGATATTCATTACCAACATTAAAACAAATTCGTACATATGTTCGAGAACAAATTGATGAATTACGAAAAGATCATAAACGTGATCTTAATCCAACACCATATAAAGTTTCAGTTACAGATGATTTATTTCAATTTATGCATAAACTTTGGATGAAAAGTGTTCCAATTGGAGAACTTGAATAATTATTTCACAAATGAATTTGAACAAAAAATGTGATAGATAGATTTGATGTTGTATGCATATTTTTCTGTCTTTCTTTTTACCTCTTTCACTCGCAATATTCCTAGACTCATTTTCTTCGATTTTTTTCCTTTTATTCGAATGCTGACTTTTTTCTTTTTTTTTCTCACTTAGTATTGTTTCGTTATGTGTGTCATGCACGAAAAAAATAATTCAACTTATATATATATATAAATATATTTAAATATATATATTTACAAATTCTTTTATTTTTGTTTTTTATTTTAAAAACACAAATCATTTGATTATCAAGAGAAATTTCATGAATTAATATTTTATGTTTGATATTCCTTGAAATTTTATCTAGTTGATGAAAAAGAAAAAAAAACGTCAATAAATTAATGAAGATTTTAGTAAAAATAGAATTTACTGATAAAAAGTGAAATTATAATCAACAATTAGAAAAGATATTCAAGTTTTCGATAGAAGTGTGTGATTTTGTTTTGTTGATAATGACAAAATTATATGACTCTTTGTTAATATTTTATTGAAGAGTGTAAACTTTATCAAATATAATCTCCATCAATAAAATATATTCGAAATTCATTACGAACAAGTTTTACAACGATTACTTAAATATAAGTGTTACAATATTCTTTAATGTCTAGAAATAATTTTAACACGTAAAAAAAAGAAGAAAGTAAAAATATTTCTTTTCTTTGTTTTTTTTTTAAATGACATGAAGTTTTTTGCTCGAAGAATAAGCAACTAAATATACATTCATAAAACTATGTGATCGATTAACAAATGTTCTTTTATTCTCCTCATTGTATTTTCGAACGTGATGTTGATAAGATCTATAATATCAGTCAGTATTGTTCTTTTCGAATATTCTTTTTTTTTTCATATTGATTTAATGATTATAAAGAAAAAAAAATTTATTCAAATTTCAATTAAATATGATACAATTTAGAAGAATTTATCCTAACTATGATACGTTTATGCTTGAAAATTTATTCATCGATTAAAATAGCCTAAAGTAAAATGATGAATTCAGTCGATTGACTGGCATCGCATGTCACAACAATCTTCTACTATAGTTATTTTATCATTACAATAAATTCATTTATAATTTATCATTGAATTGTAATTTTTTTTTCTTTTTGAAACATAGTTTAACTTTTTTTCTTTGTATGTATGCGTCACCTGATGAAAACTATCCTATCAAATTACCATTGTTAATATAGATAAGAAAAAAAGTAAATAATGACCGTTGGTTTGTTCCATTCATCATCATCGTTCGTTGACTATATGTCACTTTCATATTTGTCTTATGGCGACATGTGTTCTTTCTTTTTCTTTTTTTTTTCTCATCAAAAAAATTGCAAATTATCGAAATTCCATTTTCTTCTCTTTTTTTTTTCTTTTTTTACTTTAAGTTCATGATACCATAAAAAAATGACAGCAGACGAACAAATGTTGAATTCTTATTAGTTTTTTGTTAATTCTATTCTCCACATATGGCTCATATATATATATATATATATGTTCACATTTCGTTTACACGGACTGCTTGACTTTGATAATATGATATCCGATAAGCACACTATTCAATATTCTTCCATCTAAATATCGTCATAAAACGATATATGTCGTTTTTTTTAAATGAACCGAGATACATCATATATCATAGTGACGGGTAAGAAGAAGAAAAATACAAGGTTCATTAACTAGACAAAGAAAAAAAAACCTAAATAGAGTTCATTGTCAATGTCACAGTCAGTTGACTTCCGCACAAGCATTATGGAAAAGAACAGATGTTCAATGAGCAACTATCTAGTAATTTAATGATTATAGTTTATGTAGAGAACGAACGACAGATGACAAGATCATAATCATTTGAAGGTAAACGAATAAGTTTCACTTAATATATAGTTAATGTATGATTTATTGTATCTATGTTTTTCTTTTCTCAATGTTAACACTCTTGAAAACATGATTATAAATAAAATAAAATCTCCATATTGTTTCCGGTTGCATGCATTGCTTCTCTAATTTAAAAGTTGCAATTAGCATGAAAATGTTAATCTTCTTCTTTAGTATCTAATTGAAAACAAAATCAATTGAGAAAAACTACTAGTCATGACATATTAATGCAAACGAGCAATCGACGAGACGACGACGACGACGAGGACGAGGACGACGGCGCGTGTCCTTCGTTACTGGAAATGTCAATTTAGCTTGTGCGTGTATATATCATTGGACAAAATCTAATCTCTCTATTGACCAACATAGATTGATTAATATTAGCCTTCCTTTCTTTTCTTTCTCGATCTCTCTATGCATATATACGAAAACAAGCAAAACAAGAAATGAGAAAATGTCAAATGGTCATTTTACTTTTTTATCTCACTTTATCCATCTCTCTATGTACACAGTTCAATCAACGAGAAGAGAAGAAGAGAAAAAACAGACCATAAATAAGTAAAAAAGAAGAAAATTTGATCAATGATTTGTTGTTGTTATTATTAGTGTTGATGCTAAATTATAAATCAAAAGAGAACAGTTCGCGTGCCAGAGATCTCAATTTCAATTTCCTTTTTTACTTTGATCTTTTTTTTTTTTGACTTCACATCTGTCTGCCTTCAATGTATGTTGACTAGGAAAGATTCAAATCGCCTGTATATATGTATATTCTTTTCTATGCGCTTATGATCAACTTAAATTGAGCATTCGATATCCTTTATGTGAAGAGTTTCCGTCTATATTATAATGATAAAAGCTTGATCAAGTAAGTAAAGTGAAGTGAGATCATTAGTAAGACACCTGTTTTTCTTCTCATTGATTCTCCAATGGATTTTATATACGCGTCCTTGAGCACCAATGTTCATTGAGGCTTTCTTTCATTCAATTCTTCTTCTTCTTTTTTTTCTTTGCATATTATGATATTACTGAGTTGCACGTTTTCATCATCATTTCTTTGTCTTCTCTTGTCAGTCATACAAATCTCGATCCATATTGGCTTGCGTAACATATACTTCTATTCATTGACATAATAAGATGCTCTGTGAGTATAAGAACAAGATGACTGAAAAGAAGATGAAGAAAAATGTCACTAAGAACTCTCATACGATCTAAATAAAATAAATTTATTCTTATTCACATCTTATCGGACATATTCAACTTGACGACATTTTAAAGATATAAGCAAGAGGTGTGACTAAGTGATGATACGCCCATCAATTTTTCTGTTGACAAATAAGAAAATGATTATCATCGTCATCATCATCGAGATCGATCTTATGTAATAAATATCTCATTGTCTTGTTTTCTCTTTCTCTCTTTCTCTCTCTCTCTCCACCTCCTTCAATCAATAATAGTCATTGACAATTGTCGTCTGTATGGCGTAATTGTATATATATATATATATATGTATAGATGAGCAATGTTCGATGACGACATGTCAGGGTTCATCAATCAACGGTCTGTGATCTGTTTATTGTCAATTGACGAGTTCATCAGAGAATTTCGACAATTAGCCAAGAACGTCTTTCGTCAATAATCTAAATACATCCATATGAAAGACATTTTTCCTTCTAGGCATACAGTCGTCGACAATCATGACTATCGAATCTAAGATGTAAATATATGTTGTTATTAGGGTTGATTGAAAAAAATTTTGATCATGATGATAGAATTTGTATAGTTGATGTTCACAATAGTGAACAGATGGAATCAATTATAAAGTCCGCTTGATGTTAGTCGATGGTCAGTTAAATTAATGAGCTCGATTATTGTTGTCCTCGATCATTCGGACATGCTAAACAAGCAGTTGGTCACCATGGGCACTTCCGTTATATGTTATTTTTTCTTCTTATTCTTTTCTTTATTCTTATAAAATACTGTATTATCGCATGACGTAAGATTGAAAAAAAAAAAACTAAGTTCCCTTCCCTTTTTTTTTTTTTTTTTTTTTTCTTCTTCCCACCCCTAAAGATTAGCTAGATGATTACATTTGAATCGAAACAAGAAAAAAAAGATTTCACCGTTCAAGAAAATGTCCTTGTTATCGTGCTAAATCGTTAGAATTATTGGACTCACGCCTTCGCTTCTATTTCCGCCTTGATAAAGAAAGATAAATGCTGATTCAAATCTTCTTTCTCTCATATTTTTTTTTATTTCTCCTTGGACAACAGAACGCAAAGCAAGAGAAAAGAAAATTTTCTTTCTTTCTTTTTTTTTTTCTTCTTTCATTTTTATTTCTCTTCTTCATCCCAATGGTGGACATTTCGTAATTGTTCAGACATTTATTCATTCATTGAATCTATGTCTTATTTCAGATTGAGTTAAAAGGCAGAAGAGAAGAAAGAAACATACAAAGAACTTCTCAATATTAACAATGGAAACAAAGTTCTCAAACGTATTATTAACGATTATACTTTATCTTTTTCAAATCGATATTTGTTCGATTATGGCCAATGATCCTTCCGATTTTCGATTTGTCTCGTACAATGGTATGTATGTGTGAGAATCAACACCTTTCTTTTTCTTCTTTTTTTTGTCTATCCTTTTACTAGACAGACTAAATCAACAATTCAATACACATACATTTTTATGTATGTCAGATCAGTTATATTAAAACGGGAGTAAAGATAATGGTGAAAAACAAAACAGAAAAAGAGACAGTTGAACAATATTAAAATTCTTATCGATAGACGTAAATATTATCACATTGTTCCTACGTATATAGTTATTCATTAAAGAAAAAAACCCAAAAGTTCTTCATTTATTCGTTTTTTTTTTTTAAATAAAATTAATGAAGAAGAAAAATATTCTTATATTGTTCTCATTGAATGTGTGTGACAACTGTGAATGAATAGCTCTATCCTTAAAAGTTTACATTCGTCACCTGTTGAATAAAACGAATAATTTTTTGCAATTGGTTCATTTATGTTTGTCTTGCAAATTAGTCAAGAGTCTCTTATGGTGTCGGCGTCATTATTTGATTAGAAAATGAACGGCTATGTTCGAGCGGAAAAAACGAGTAGACTGGAACGTTTTTGATCAAATTAGAATCACATATACTTACGAAGGAAATTTGAGTCTATCACATATTTATATGAAAAAGTAGATTTTAAATGAAAGACAGATTATATGTTCATTTGATCTTATTGTTTTTTTTTTTTTTTTTTCTTTTTTCTTTTAGAAATGTTACGAAATGTTCAAATTTATCAAGAAAATGATGATAGCAGTTTTGATGCAATCACAATTGATTCACACAGAGATCAAATTATAATTGGAGCAAAGTAAAGAATATTTCTCATATTGTTTTCGTTTTTCTTTTCTTTTTGTTTCTTGATAATTACTTGTAAATTCAGACATGTTTACCAATTGACACATTATTCTTTCTCCACCTCATCATAATAGATATGACCACTACCACCCGAAGAGCACTTTAAGTAAATTGACAAGTGAGAAAAGGAGAGTCTGATGGATGTCAAGCATACCTTAGAGAAATAAAGCCTTAGTAAGACGATGACCGAGGAGCTAATTATATCCAAAACATACAATACTTTTGTTGACACAGCAACATATTGAGACAGAGAGAGGCATCAAATTGCGTTTTTTTTGAAGCCACGCCAAAACAAATTGATCTAATAAATGTCTGATAAAAAAAAATTCAAATAATATCAATAAATATTTTTATTTTTTGTTGTCTCATTTTCTAATTTTTAGAAATTCAATAATTCGTTTATCTATTGATAATTTTCATTTATTGGAAAAATTTAAATGGGAATCATCAACAAATGAAATAAATATTTGTCGAAGTCAAATTCAATCATTTGTAAAATTTTATATTATTTTATTATTTTAAGTTTTTTTTTTTTTTTTTGTTATTTCTTTCATATATCATATAGAATCAATGTGAAAATTATATTCGTGTATTAGCACTACGATCACATGATCAATTATTATTAACATGTGGTACTAATTCTTATCGTCCAATTTGTATGTGGCGTCGTCCAGATTCTTTATCAACAATAATTCCAAATGAAAATTTTATTTCTGGTGATGGAAAATCTCCTTATAATAGTTATTTTCCATCAACATACGATTTAATCGATACTGGTTTGTTTTAATTTTTAGACAAATTAAATTAAACAAAGGAACAATGAAATAATTTGGCGTTTTTTTTTTTTGTAGGTGAATTATATTCAGCAACAAGTAATGAACCTGTATTTGGTATAAATGATCCATTAATACAAAGAAGTTTTAGTCAAGGAAAACAATTACGAACACAACAACATGATTCAAATTGGTTAAGAAGTATATTTTTATTTGATTGTTAAAATAGAATTTTTGTATTTTTAATATTTTCTTTTTTGTTTTAGATCCATATTTTGTTCGTATATTAAATATTGGTTCATATGTTTATACTTTTTTTCGTGAAGTTGCTCTTGAACATTTATCATGTGGAACGGTAAAGAGAAAAGAAAACTTAACTTTTTTTTCTTTTTTAATTGAAAAATTCTTTTATTAATATTAGACTGTTTATTCTCGTGTTGCTCGTATATGTAAATATGATGATGGTACAATGAAATTTAGTGATACATTTCGTTCATTTTCAAAATTACGTTTATCATGTTCAAAAAAAATTCATAATGATATTAGTTCATTTGATTATAATGAATTACAATCGATTTTTTTTGATAGGAAATCAAATTTCATTTATGGAGCTTTTAATTTACCAAAGTAAGTTAAATAACAAAAAAAATTACTTTTTTTCTTTTTCTAAAACACAATCTAAAAGGTGTCTTGAATTATAGAAGTAGAAATTTGGACCTCCTATTCTTCAATAGACGTTGTTTATATACGATTGCAGACGTCTAGGACAGTTCTTCGTCAAGTATAAATTATAAAGAATATATAATTTAAATACATGATTGATAGTATTATGCAAGATTAAACAGAAAAATAAAGTAGGGTGTGGATAAACTTGTGTGTGGTGTTTCTTTTTATATGCACACCCTCATCCATGCTCAATATAACCATTTATGTTATAATAAAATTATCTTATTAAAGATTTTTGATATAGTAACTGATATAATTGCTACTTGTGAAGTTATTCTGTTAGTCTATGTGTATTATATATATATGTTTGATTTGTTGAATACAATTTGTCCTTGTTATAAAAATTATCAATTTGACAAATATTAAAAGAATTAAATCAATCAGTTTATGATAATGAATCATTCTTTTGCATGAAGCTAATTCATTGTATTTTCCTATTTTGTTCAAAATTCTTGTAAAAATTTGCATAGTAAGCAAGTGTCCAGGCCATATGCTCATGTGAGCAACAGTTCGTTTCCCGATTATAGACTATATATGAATAGCATCTTGTTATAATATTTGAATTAGTTATTGCATCTTTGGAGGATTAAGTAAAATCATGGTAAAGAAATGTGTCCTAAAGTAGAACGAATAAAACAATCTGCCTATGATTAGAAAGAGCATCTACAGCATGTTTGACATATTGATTCCGCCGGGATTGTATTAACGGATTTTTCTACAGAAAAGAAATTTTTTTGTTTAGAAGTGGTTTATCAGGATCAGCTATTTGTATATATAAAGTTGATGAATTACAACGTGTATTTACATCAGCATATTTAACACAAAAATCCAATGAATCATATTGGTTACCATCAACATCAAAACAAGAAACAGAAAAAGTAAATTGAATAATATTTAAAAAAAAAATATATATATATAGTTTTTTCTTTGATTGTCTTCAGTGTGAACCAAATCAATCAAATGAAAATCAAATATCATCAGGACCAGTTCTTCGATCAGGTGTACTTCATTCATCATATGAACCACTTATATTAGATAATATTCGTATTGGACATTTATTAATTAATTATTTTAATGATGTTACAATTTTATTTGTTATTACTTTTGACAGTTTAATATTAAGAAAATATTCATTAATCAATAATCAATTATGTTTAATTGAACATATACAATTAAAACCAATAGATATTCCAGAAAATCAATGGAAAATTAATAAAGCAGAATTTATCTCAGAAACAGTAAAGATTTTCTTTTTTCTCAAAGAAAAAACACAAAAAGAAAGAAATTGTTTTTTTTTTTTTTTTTTTTTTTTTTATCTTTTAATGTTAAGTTTGAAACAATGGGTGCATATGCATTAATTGGTGAATCAATAATAAATAATCATGCATCAAAATATCTTCAAATGGCTTGTTTTTATAATCAATCAACATTACGTCTTCGATTTTTNTTGTATTCCACCACCACATGTCTTTGAACATGAATCCCAATCTACGTATATATAAAAATTACTTAATTAATATTTCAATAACAAAAAAAAAGAAAAAGAAGTTTCATACCTGTCCAAGAACTTAAACGTAATGATTGACCGGAACAAACTATTTCCGGACATAATTCTTCTTCACGTCCATTATTGACATGTCCTATTCTTAATACCACACGTATGTGTTTATTAATATTAGAGTTTTTTTTTTTTTTTTTTTCTATTTATTTATATATAATTTATTCAGTTGATGGTGGTTGGACATCGTGGTCATCATCATTTACATGCGAACAAGTAACAGGTGAAAAATGTCAATGTCGTACAAGAACATGTACACAACCAACACCACAATTCGGTGGCCGATTATGTCAAGGACCAAATGTTGAAATAACTCGCTGTGAAGGTTAAATAAACAATAGAATGATAATATTTGGTTTTTATTATATAAATTCTTATTTTTATAGTTCATGGTGGTTGGTCACCATGGAGTGACTGGAGTATATGTCCAAAAACATGTGGAAAATCATTTCGATCAAGAACACGAACATGTACAAATCCTGAACCAAAAAATAACGGTCGTTTATGTATTGGAACTGAACGTGAAGAAGAATTATGTCCGGAAATAGTTTGTTCCGGTCAATCATTACGTTTAAGTTCTTGGACTGGTATAAAACTTCTTTTTCTTTTTTTTTGTTATTGAAATATTAATTAAGTAATTTTTATATATACATAGATTGGGATTCATGTTCAAAGACATGTGGTGGTGGAATACAAAAACGAAGAAGAACTTGTTTGATTAAAGAAGATAAATGTTCCGAATGTTTAGAGGAAACACGTGTATGCAATGAATCACCTTGTCCAAGTATGTTAATAATTGAAAGAAAACTTTTATTTAACTATAATCCATTTTAATGCGATCACTTTTTATGTTTCAATGAAAACATTTAAGCAATTTTTTTTTCTATTAGAATTTATCTTTTGATTTTATGATGAATTTACTACTACGTAATTTTTGAAAATTGATTCAACAAATCTTTGTTTTTTTCTGAAAAAGATTTGACAGATTATTTGAATAACTGTCAAGTTTAAATCATTTATGTAGGCTTTGCATATAGTTGAAGAACTACATTGCAGAGAGACAACCTGTTAACGTTTTTTTTTTCGGAACCGAACTAATCCCGCCATGCTATATTAACTGACGATGTGAAATTGAATTCTCGCAAAAAGAAAACAAATAAAGTTTGTGCTTTTGCTGCTTAGATTGTTTTCTATGTACTTTCTTTCATTCATTAAGTATCAACTGCACAGATATTCTTTTCAAATTGTGTGACAATGGTGGACTAAAGTTTCCTACCCTTCATGTGTTGACCATCATACATGTTGTGACTCGAAAAATTTATTTCTAGATATTTCACTAAGAATGTAGGTGTGAGACATGAGTTTATCTGGACTATTTAAATGGAACAAAAATTATGACGGATCGCACCTATTTATCTTCTTTAATTTCATAATTCTGTAAAAAAAAACGAACTTTACAAGTCGATCCATTCTTTATTATTATTTAATGGTTTATTCTGGTTATTTATTGTATTCATTTCACCGAAGTTTATCAATCCTTCCTAGAAGTGTAGTTATTCTTTCAAAATGATTTGGTTGAAGAAAAACTATTTGATAACATTTGAAAATCCTAACTCAATAGTGTGTTCAGTGAATCGAGCCGAAAGTTGTACATAAGATTTGTCTGTAGTGAAAGTTTCATAAAATAATCTTCCACTAAATGAAAATGCTATTCAAATACAGAGGACTATTCGTATGCTAAAATATTAAGAATAAGTCATGTAGTTGATAACGGCTAGAGAAAAATTGAGTAGACAATCTATTTCAGGCTGAAAACTTGAAGTAAGAATGGGCGCTGTTCCTCATAAATATCGTTACATTTAAGCAATTGAACCAATCTCATACTTCTGAACTAAAGTCTGAGTATAATATGTGTACACAAGTTTTCAGTCCTCCAACATTTATAGCAGCCGAAATATAGCTGAGTGGGAGACTGTGGTTGACTACTGTTACGAGAGAAATTTTTTAAGTTTTACTAAATAAATCTATGGAACGCATTTTGTATTTATTTTTCAATATCAGAATTAAGAAAAAAAAATGTTTTAGTTCAACAAGTAACATTATGGAGTGATTGGACACCTATAATAAATCCAAAGAAAGATGGTCTTATAACTGAAAAACGTACACGTTTTCAATGTACAATTGGTTCATCATCTGGTCAACAATTACCAGAAATAAAATCAGATACAGTTATGTATCGAGTGTGTAATAATCAAGGAGGAATTGATTGTCAAGAAACAGGTAGATTCTTTTAGATAATTTAATTGTGGTAAAAAATATCTTTGTTTTTTTTTTATAGATTCATTAGATAATTTAAGCTTCGATGATTGGTCACCATGGTCCGATTGGAGTGGTAAATATTTTAATTATTAATTAAAATCTATCATAACTAATTAGTGCTATATTTTTTTTTTGTTTAAAAGATTGTTATCCAGGTTGCGATATATCTGGTTCAGTTGAAACTCGTCGTCGTACATGTTTAGGAAGACGTTGTTTAGGACATGATATTGAAAAACGTGAATGTTTAACATGTACACCATCAAAATCAAGTAATTGGTCATGTTGGACAGATTGGTCTGAATGTTCATTATGTACATCATCTCGATTACGTTCAATAAAATATCGAACCCGTACATGTCTTACAAATTCTTGTCAAGGTGAAACACGTGAAGAACGTTTATGTTCAACATGTCCATTATTATTAAAATCATTTCCATTAATTGATTCAATTAATGAAAATCGTTTTACATTAGTACATATAATACTTGTTTGTTTAATATCATTTTTATTTGGTTGTCTTTTAATGATTTGTATAATAATTTTATGTCGTTATTGTCGTCGTCGTCGTCATTCTCATTATAGACATAGACAAACATCAAATACATTTCTTCATACAGATGATAGAGATTATTTTCAAGCATCAACATCAAATTCATCATCAAGTCCACATACAGCACAAGATTCTGATACATTTACAACATTATCAAATACAAATAATAATAATACAAATAAATTTCGAAGTTTTGATTCATCATCATCATCAACAAATGGTGGTGTTAGTGCTTATCTTAAAGATATTCCATCAAGAAAATTAAATATGTATATTAATCCAAGAGAAATGCCACCATTACCACCAGCAGCAACATTAAAACGTACATCAATAATGTCATCAATGAAAACAAATCTTGATGCCGATGATCTTTAATTAGCATTTTAAGAATAAAACTAATTTGTATTTCAAAGAAGAGTCATTTGTCTGTTTGTTTTTTTAAATACTATCTGTGATATGCTACTTCTGGCTGGTCCAGTTTTTTGTCTATTCTAATTGTATTCATCTTTTCTTTTTTCTCTCAAGGTGTTGTTGGTTTTTTTTTTGTATTTTTTTCTCGCTTATTGCTTTTACAATACCAAAAAATAGATGTTTGTCTAAGTCGAAAGTGAATTTCATATAGAAAATTTATATAAAATAAAACATACATATTTAGAAAAAATTTTCTTACGAACTGAAGATTCAATTTAGAAGCGATGAAAATCAATTGATTATATGAAGGAAAATAATATCTGAGAAAATTTGTGACTTAGTGATCAGCGGGATCAATTATTTTTGATCTCGTTCAGAAAAACTTTTAGCTTTTGGTTTTTCGCTTAGTAATACATGTATTAGTGAAAAATATGATATAATTTTCGAGGAATATCAATGCATTACTTAATCGTTTTTCCATAAACTTTTAGAAAACAGGAGTCATGAGAATATGGCATTTGAAACAAATTTTACATAAACATAAAATATATCACTCTCAATAAAAGTTTTGGTCAAGTTCCTGGCAGAACTCAAACAATTTTGTTCATATCTAGTATGACTGTTAGGACTATGACAGTTCGGAAATCGTTCCGAACTGGTGAACTGTTCGAACAGTTCTCCCAAACTGAACTGAACTGTTGAAACAGTTCAGCTCAGCTCGCAGGACTGATGAAATGTCTCATATAGGAGTACCCTTAGTCCTCAAGTCCTATATATTAGGGGTACCCTTAGTATGAAAAAAATTTGGGGTGTTTCCGAAAAATTTTATTTTTTCTCAAAAAGTCGATTTCTGCAATAATAAAAATTTTTCGAAAAAAAATTTTTTTTCAAAAATATGACCTACACCCACACCTACACCCNATTCTCCAGAAGTGCAATAAACAACTAGTTCATATATTATAACGTATATTAACGTCTCATACAGTCTGTAGGAGTCGAGAGGATTTCAATTTCTAGCTTAAACTTTAATATTCCTTTTAAAATGTGTTTCTCAAAAGTTATAGCTTAAAGACTTCGTAAGGCTTCAAGACTAGAGTCTAAGTTGTTTTGTCCTCAGTAGTAATAGCTATCTGTCATGAAAGATTTAAAAAGAAGACAGTTGTCTATTTATTTATGAGAGAAAAGCATTCTTAATTATAGCTGAAAATCAATGAGATTTCTTCCTGTATGACTTTTTTCTTGGAAAGGCAGCAAAAATTTGTGCAAATATTAAACAATTAGAAAATGTTCTTGTAATTAGAGATGCTTTTACTAAAACTTTACATAGAATCTTGACGAAGTGTGAAAATAGTTCTTTTGAACAGAAGTTGTAGTCAATTTCATCACCCATTCATTCAATATAGATATGGCGTTGAAAAAGTTTTGAAAACTAGGAAAATTTCTTCAATAAGATTTACATTAGATTTATTTGTTTACAGTAAACGTTAGAAGACATCTTAACAATATTCGATTTACTTTTCAATAATCTTTTTCTATTCATCAATATGCGTCAAACTGATTATACGGTTATTGATTAGTTAAATTTATTGGATCTAGGAAGATATTTAATCAATATTTTAAAATAATTAAATAATAGAAGCTCAGGCGAAGCGAATCCAGCTGAATGTGTCTGTCAGACGATATTTTTCAATTCTCTCCTTTTTGAGAAATTTCATAACAACACTTTTTATATGTGGTTTGCAGTATCATCATAGATTTGATACCACCGATGCCTCATGATAATCTTTGTTGGGAAATTTCTTAACTAATACTTTTTAAACATTATTGAGATGATTATATAGCATTAAAAGACGGTATAGAATGCATCTAAAAAATAAGTAATGCCCATGTTATCATAAAGAAAATGACAAACATTGTTTCTTGACATGTTGTATTCTTTTAGAGACTAGAATTTCTCTTTTGTCTCTACCTAATACTGCGATATCTAATCTGTCTTTGACGTATATCGATGAATAGAAAAAGTTTATTAAAAAGTAAATCGAAGATTGTTATGATGTCTTCTGACCTTTCCTGTAGACAAATAAATATAATATATTTCTTATTGAATGGATGTTACTAAGTATCAGAACATTTTCAATATCTTATGTAAATTCAAGATGCATCTTATCTTATTTAATATAAACTTTTATTATTCATAAAATAATCAAATGAATATTGTGTGTAGATCCAAGTATTTGGAGTGAGCAAAGTTCAATTTGCAAGTTATGATTAAAACAAGTAATTTCACAATAAAATGAGTTATAGGTGTCAGATGAAAATTATCTTATAATCCGATGGTTAAGATATAATAAATAAAGAAATTCTAGAAATAAAATTTTGAATTAAAATAGATGCTAAAAGACAAACGATAAAGTTGACTAAATGATAATTGAATGATCTATTATGGAGAAAAAAATTAATCATGATATTTTCTATTTTGATTAACATCAAATAATTTTTCTCGAATTTCAGGAAGAATTTGATTAAATATCATTGAAAGTCGAGGTTCAATTGTATTTGATACTTTTATTTTTCCACTCATTGCATAAAGTTCAACACTACCAGCTCTAAAACAAGAAAAGATAAAATTTATTAAGGAAAAAAACTAAAAGACAAATCCTAACGAATCATCAGGTATGAAATTTTTCTCATCAATAATTATTTTAATATCTTTTTTTTAATTCTTGTTTATATTTCTGAATTGTATCAGGAATAAGTTGTTGAACAAGTTGATAATCATTTCGACGGACATCTAATAGTAACATCATTTTTCATAAGTAAAAAAAGACCTTGTGTTATCAGATTGGAAAGAACAGTTGAATATTTTGTTCGATCTTGTGTTAAAATAGTTAATTGTTTTCTTGCTTCTTCTTTTAAAGCTTGAATATAATCATCATGTGCTTTAAGAATTGAAAGACGACTTGCATTAGCTAAATTTGAATGTTGAATTTTTCGTTGTAATTCAATTTGTTTTTCTTTTTTATCATAATATTCAATTATTTTAATACGTTGTTGAGAAACTAAACGACTTTTTTCAATATTAAATTCTTCTTCAGCTTTTGCTTCTATTTCTTCAACTTTTTCAGCTGCTTCTTGTTGAATAAATGCAATCATGTGTTGAATCTAATTTAGAAATAGTCAGATTATTATTATTTTTTTTTTTGTTTTTGTTAGAAATCGAATAACTAACTTGTTTGGCAACATCAGTTTCGCTTAAACCCATTTTTTATGAGTTTTCAATATTAGAATGTTGAAACTAACACTATACTAGAAAAATACGTGTTGACAATGAAAAATACTTGACAGCAGGAAAAGGCTTCGAATTTGGTTTCGATTGAACTTTTTTTGTTTTATCATGCTATTTATGTCATGTAGATGTCACCACATTATTGAGCAAATAAGACCGTTTATTATTGATGATTATCTGTTTACCTTTTCTCTATTGAAAGTGTAAAAATATTTATAGAAGATCACTCTTACATTAGACAACTATCTTCGAGAAAAGTTCAAAAAGTCTATTGGAATGCTATCTATTTACCAGAAGTCTTCGTTTTAAAACTCAACGATTCTTCCGATTATAAAATTTGATAATTGAAATTTTCACCCATCTATTCGATTTTATAATAGAAAATCTAGTTTTAAGCCTCTTGATTAGAAAAAATCTATTGTTTAAACTAAAGCTGTACAAGTACGAGTACGTAGTCGCATTTATACTTGAGAAACTCCATATATGCCTAGCTTCGATTTGAATATTAGAAAACCTTCTCAAAATCGTTGGATTTTAGAGAGAAGTTCAAAAAAAATAAAGTGATCCTCATAAGAAGGTCATCCCAAGATGACTACCCGAGACGTACACCGTCTACATGGGGTCCATCCGCACCCTAATGGAAAGTATGAATCATAACGAGGCGATCACCATACTTGACGAAAAGGTTTTTGAAGGCTTCAATGACATGAGTTTTACTTTATTTTTGTCATGAACATTCCAATCAAGCAGATAATAACTAGTAAAGAATGGAACAAATCATCGATAATATCTAGGTTACAGTGTCGACATGCTCCTTGACAAGTCCTAGAAGAAAGCAGTTTTTTTACAACATATCTTGTTTTATGTTTTTGAAAGGAACGTAATAATAGAGAATTTGAGGCTCTATCGGAATATCTAAGTTTTTTGCTTTAGAAGTTATTTTTAAATTAACATTAAAGCTAAAATGAAAAGAAACATGTTACTAAAATAATTCAATTTTTTAGGTTTTGTCACGAAATCACTGACGTAAAAAATTGAATTATTCTTCAGTACATTCATCACATGAATACAATGTAATGAGAAAAATATATTGAACGATAGAGAATTTCAAGATCTATCAGAAGATATAATTAATTTTCTGAAAAGATAATTTTATATTATTGAAAAATTGCAAAAACTAATTTTCATAACAGTGAAAAATTCATGGTTATGGAAATGTGAACATGAAAGTATCTTCATTGTACTCAAGTTTTCTTTTCAATAAATGAATGCAAGACAATAAGTAAATATATAAGATGATTGAAAACTCATGCTCTTTCAGAATATATCATAATTTTTTTAAACATATGCTACTATGATAACGATATTCCCAATATAGAGAAGGAAACTTAATTTTACCACAGGTATATAATATAGCCGAGTTTTGCACACAGGAGCATCACCAACTACTTCGTAATGTTGTTATCCGTTTTTCTCAGCTTCACTTTTCTATTGTTTACTGGCAACTGCAGAACATTTTCCTAGTCTACCGTTTTAGATACGTTGCTGATATTTCTTTTATTTGGAGATTGATGAAGCAGATTTCTAAAATATATTTCCATTGCTCAGATATTTGAAAATCTTTGGAAGAGCTCAAAATAGTTTTTTGCAATTTTCGTTTTAAAATGATCACTACAATCGAACGAAGACGAATTTCAAAAAACTGTTTCTACAATTTCTAGATAAAAGATTTTTCCTTATTTTGAAACAAAGTTCAACATTTTCCATACTACCTTGCACCGGGAAAATATTCCATACCAAAAGTCCTGTTTTCAGCAGTAAATTGTGTATAACTCATTATTTATCAAATACTAGTTACATCAGCTTTTATATTTCCTGAAATTTTCATCCAAATCTGTTGTACCGTTTAGAAAATAAGTTTCTTGCGAGGGGGAATTCCCTCTTAAGTCTTTCTAAACCTGAAGTAGTATCTGATAAGTTGACGGCTTGTTTTTCTATTCTATTGTTCATGTAACTGCAAATAACCTTTATTTTAATATACTTCAATATTGAACATCATTGTATTTTCATTTGATTATAATAATCATTGAATGAATTTAACAGCAGATGAGAATTTATCCATAACTTTTCTTTAGTTAAAATTTTATTAAAAAGATGTGAAGCTTTTCCAGAGTTCAACTCTCATCATCAGACAAAAAGATGGAAATGATTTAAGTTATATGAAGATGTAAAAGTAAGAGAATTAGTCATATATAGAGACATTTTGCAAACGCAAAGACCTCTATAGAATAGAATAAATTTGTTTCGGAATATTCAGAAACAAATTCCCCCATGGCAGTCCACTATACACCTGCTTTCATCTTGACTTTCGGCTTGAATAATGACGAGCTGTCCGGATAGATAACAAGAGGAACAGAACGTACAGTTCGATTAAGCGATGATTCAAATTTTGAAATTTGTATTGATTCACGTACTAGAAGACGGTAAAATTTCTGATCTTTGCTTAATAGTTTCCAATTCCCCCAACCAATTGAATGCCCAGTCTGTACTTCATGTTGATGAATAGCTGATTGAAATAGTTTAGAATTTATTTTATCTGATAAATGCGGAGTGTTTTCTTCTATAGCTTCATCTAATTTTCTTTCATTTAATGCATAGTTAACAGTGGGTACATTCCGTTTAGGGCGTTAAGACAACAATGATGTGGTTATTAGGACTATGATAGTTCGGAAATCGTTCCGAACTGGTGAACTGTTCGAACGGTTCTCCCAAACTGAACTGAACTGTTCGAACAGTTCTTTCGAACTGAACTGAACTGTTGAAACAGTTCAGCTCAGCCCGCAGGACTGATGAAATGTCTCATATAGGAGTACCCTTAGTCCTCAAGTCCTATATATTAGGGGTACCCTTAGTATGAAAAAAATTTTGGGGTGCTTTCGAAAAATGTTATTTTTTCTCAAAAAGTCGATTTCTGCAATAATAAAAATTTTTCGAAAAAAAACTTTTTTCAAAAATATGACCTACACCCTATGTACTAAGGGTACCCCAAATTTATAGGACTTGAGGTACTAAGGATATCCAAAATATATAGGACTTGAGGTACCAAGGGTACCCCAAACATATAGGACTCGAGGTACTAAGGGTATCCCTAATATATGAGACATTTTGTCAGTTCTCGGAGCTGAGCTGAACTGTCTGAACAGTTCAGTTCAGTTCGGAGGAACTGGTCGAACAGTTCTGATGAGCTGAACTGAACTGTTCGAACAGTTTAGCTCAGTTCGAAAGAACTGTTCGAACAGTTCCTCCGAACTGAACTGAACTTTTCGAACAGTTCATCCGTTCGTTTCAGCCCAGTTCGTGAGCTGGAGCTGTCGTAGTCCTAATGACTGTAGTCTTCGATACTCTTTTCATCTACACCGGCAATAAATCATGTGCTATTAAATATAATAAAAAAAAAACCTATTTTAGCCAAAGAGATTTATATATGATTGTGAGCTAGAAAAAATGATATCATACTATTTTTTCAACCGAAATCTTTGTTGATATGTAAATTCTACGCTCAAAATAATAGTTAATATTAAGAAATTATTAATAATGAAATCAATACATTATAAAATTTTAAACTTATATGATTCAAGTTGATCTTTAATTAGAAGGAAATAAAAGTAACAATGCGTTTCTAATATAATTTCGGAGCTGATTAATATAAATAATTAATATTTATTTTATTAGAATATGTTTATTTTAGCTCTTGAAACAGAATTTAATCAATAAAATATCTTATTTATAATCTTATTTCTAGTAAAAAATGAACAACTAAAATCAATTCTTTGGAAAAAAATAATATTAAGTACAGTCCTCGTCACCAAAAACATACTCGATCCAATTAGTTTTCATTCAGGATATGTTGCGTTATTTAAAATTTGTGTACTTCATCACTGTGCTTAATTTATAAAAAAAAAAACAAACATCGTATCTCACGTGTACTGTATTTGAGTTCGTACCCAGCTCATTTGAACTTTTTCATAGAGCAACTTTGACCAAGATTCATTATTATTGGATAAAAGTCTATGCCATATATTGTTCTAAAAAATTTATGATTAAATATAGTGTTGAAATAAATCTATCTCAATTTCATATATTGATGCTGCAACATTTCGATACATGTTATTTATCGGTAAATATTATTTTATTTATGAAATAATTGATATTTATCTTTTGAAAAATTTCTTTATTATAGATCATCTAAATTTGATGCTACTGTTTTAAACCTACCGTAGAAGTATATGAGCTATTTTTCAGTCGTTATTAACAAACAAATACCAAAGATGCACATATTTTCGTGTATTCAAAAACTAAAGAAAGTAATGAAAATCAGGTATCTGTAAAAGACGCAAACATTTCTAAAGCGGGAACTGATATCATCAGTAGATCGAGCTCGTCGAGCTGATTCTACGAAAACCTATATCATTTACTAGTGAGTAGACCAACTTGGCCTAAGCACTTACCCCAAGTATTAGATCTGTATATACTAGTCTTAGAAAAATGGAAGAGATATATTTTTTGAATTTGAAGCCTTATAATTGAATTTAGCATATAGCTCGAGCAAATGTATACAATCAATCTCTAATATCAATAACTGTCTGTGACAAAATAGTATCATATTCGCTAGCATCAGGATCTTATCTTCTTGCAATTTGATTGCTGATCCGCTTATATTTGTTCCGTCTTTTGATTTTTGATCTGTTGTACTAACACCTATGCTATATTTCTTCTCTTTAGAACTCTTTTTTAACCGTTGAGTTTCACATTATTGTTCGAGATCGTGCTGTTCTTCAGTAAAACAAGAGGATACGATGCTGATGCTATAGTGTATGACATTCTATACTGTTAAATGCGATAACTGATAATTGAGATCGATTGAACATGATCACACAAGCTATATGTTAAATTCAATTGTAAGACTTCGAATTGAG